TATTTAAAAAATGTTGCGAAAAAGGCTTTTTGCAAATTAAAGCTATTGTTTACGAAAGCTTTGGTATTAATGCATTTCGATTTTTCGAAGCCGTTGTGCGTACGGACCAACGCTTTAGCTTTTGCAATAAAGGCGGTGCTATTGCAGCTATAAAACGGCCGGTAGCACCCGGTAATTTATATATTAAAAAAGCTGCAACAAAAAAAGCTGCGTTATGCGATTTTTAATTTAAAATTGCTAGCAATCGTAAAAGCTTTTAAAAAGTAACGGCATTATTTGGCTTACTTACAAAAAATTGTTAAAATAATTACCAATTATTTAAACCATACCCATATTTTAATAAAGGAAAAGGTAATAAAGCGCTAAGCAAAATGGTTTAAAAATTTAGCAAAGTACGATTTTACGATTAAATGGAAGCTAAAATACCGGAACCCCGCGGATGGTTTGTTAAAACGTTTTTAGGATATACCAATAAACGGGGAAGCCAATATAGCAAAGGAAAAATTTTAAAGCGATTTATTGGCCAAATTTCGAAAAATAGTTTACGTAAAAACAACCATTACTAAAAAGGATACCAAAACGATATTAAAACGCATCCTTAAAGCATAAGCAAAAAACGATTTCGTTTAAAGCGGTATTTAAAAAAATAAGCCTAACGTTTGGGAAATTAGCAACGGTTTGTTTAAGCATAAAAAAAAATTTAAATTCCGAATTTAGCACCGTTTAAACGAACAATGCTTTGGAAATAATACGATAGCCCGACGGGGGGTTATAAAGGCATAGCCAAAACTTTAAAAAAGTTTAAACGGTAATTTAAATGGCCGGGTATAGTTAAAAACGTACGCAAATACGTACGGACGTATTAAATATGCCAGCAAATAAAGCCAAAAATACAAGTACCTTACGGGTTGCTAGCATTTTTGCCCGTACCAAACCGCCCGGGACAAAAGCTATCGATAAATTTTATCGAAAAGCTTTTAACGTTAGTAAATAAAACCGGCAAAAAGCGCGATGCAATATTGGTAATGGTCGACCGGTTTATTAAATATAGCTTTTTTATTCCAACGTTTACGAAATTAACCAATAAAAGATTGGGGAACCTTTTATTTGCATACGTTTAAAGGCTGCTAAAAACGCCCGAAAGGATTGTATTGGACCGGGATAAGCTATTTACAAACGGGTTTTGGACAACCTTCGCCGGATATTTAAGGGTTGCAAAAAGGCTATCGATAGCATATTACCTTTAACCCGACGGGCAAACGGAACGGACGAACCAAACAATAAAGCATTACTTTCGGTGCTTTTGTTGCGAAAGGCAAAACGATTGGGCGTTGCTATTGCATTTGGCAGCGTAAATGCACAATACGAGCGTGCATTTGGGGTTGCAAAAAACCCCGGCGTTTTTGTTAATAAGGTTTTACTTACGAAAGCTTTATAACTTTTAGGTGGTTAAAAAAAACTTTTAGCAACGGTTAAAATTAAGGCGGGGGCTTTGGAAATAATTAAAAAACAAACCAAAAAATTGTTAAAAAAAGCGAATAATATGTACAAAAAGTATTATAATAAAAGCAAAACCCCGGTGCCTTTTGGGGTAAGCAATTGGGTATTGCTAAATACAGCGAACATTAAAATAAAAAGGCCGTCGAAAAAGCTATTGGATAAATGGTTAAAACCTTTTTAAATTTTAAAAATGGTTGGGTTAGCCGGTTTGGCGTTCCGGTTAAAGCTTCCGGTAAATTACCGGATATACGACGTATTTCCGGCAAATTTATTGCGGGCGTTTAAAAAAAGGCCCAACGAAAAACCAAAAAATAAAAAACCAAAAATTAAAAGAAAAAAAAGGATCGCTTTAAAGTAAAAGCTTTGTTAAAATATAAAAGGTTTTTGCAAAAACGAAAATATTTGGTTAAATAAATAAATTATAACGAATCGGAAAATTTGTAAATTTTAAAAAAGGATATTACGAAAAAGATTGTTTAAACGTATAAAGCAAACTTATTGGAAACGAGCTTATAAAATAAGGAAAATACCGGACTTTAGCGGGTAAATACCCGGAAAGGACGGGGGTATTACAAAAAAAAAATAACAAAGGCCAAAAAAATGGCCCAAAAAAATGTTTTAACGTGCCGAACCGGCTAGCCACCGGGAAAAAACGTAAAAAAACCTGTAAACGGTTTGTAATAGCCGTAAAATATCGTACTTTATAAATAAAAAGTTAAATAAAAACGGTATAGTACGGGAAATGCTTTAAATTAATGGTGCGATATATTTAAATTCCGAAGGATATGCGAAATGTAACATACTTTGAAAAGCCCGTAAAAAGCATGCTTAGCGCGATACGCTAAAGCAATTACCGCATTTTAAACGTACGTTATAATAAAAAATACCATTATTTGTCCGAAAAGGAAATAGGAAAACTTCCGGATAATACGGCGGACGGGCTTAAGCGTTCGGGTAGCGGCAAATGCATGTTAACGGTATTTAAACCCATTAAAAGGCAAAAAAAAAGCATTTTAAAATTATTTATTAAAGCATTAAAATTTAATTAGTAAATATGGATACCGGAATTTTGCAATGTTGCAAAAGCAATATAACGAAAGGAAATTATGGTTTTAATTGTAACAAATTAACGAAAAAAATTTAAAATTAACCACTTTTCGAAAAGGGAATACCAATAATTAATTAAAAAAATATGTAAAAAAAATTAATTAAATGCCGTATTTAAAGGAACCAAAACTTCCGAAAACCACGTTTTTTTCGCTAGCGCTATAATCGTTGCCGTTAAAATTGTTAGCGTTGAAAGCGGCACTTCCCGGCGCTAATACGGACGCCGCACCCTTACGGGGAGCCGCGCGGTTATAAGCTTGGGTATCCAAATGCGCCGCAATCGTAGCAAAATTAGCGGCAATGCTACCAAAAAAAGCAACCATACCTTTTTCGAAACGCTTAAAAGACGCTTTTACTTTGTTAAAAAAATTACCGATGCTAGCTAAAGCTTAAGCTTACCTTTTCGTTTAAACGGCGATAGCGTAAAGTTATTAAAAAATGTTTTAAGTAATTTTTAATGTTATAACGCTGGTAATTTTGCGCTAAATGCGCTTTTGGATAACGGTTTAACGTTTGTAACGCGCAAATTGTTCGGTTAATATAGTATAAAAGGATTTGGCTTTTTAGATAGCTTTGCGGGCGCGAAATTGGGTTTTAATAAGCTTTTCGAAAAGCTTCGGTATCGCTTTAAGCAATCGCTTGTAAACGGTATTTAAAATTTTGTAAAGGTTTTGGGCCATTTCCCAAAATTATTTAAAAAATTTAACGCAAGCTTTATTACTAATTACGTTTTTGCAATAAATATATTTAAAAAACCCCGTACAATTATCGGAGCATATCGGTATACGGGGGTTAACGGCATAGTTTTAATATGCTTAACGACCAAAATAACGGCTACAAAATACCGTACGTTCCGTATAATTGTTTTTAAAAAGGGGCAAATAAATAAGGTCCCAATTATTGCTTTATTAAAAATTAATAACCTTTTGCAACGGGAACGCGTTGCGGATATTTATATAAAGCGAAAAAAAAATAATATCCGTTTTGGGGGCAGGTTTATTGGAATTAAAAGCGTTGCGGCGGCGTTTATCGCGCGCTTTACGCTTTTTTTCGGCGAAAATCTTTTTGCTGCGGCGGTTAAAGCCCGCCGGGGGGTTACCGGCAAAACGTTTGCGGGAATTTTAAAAAATTGCAAGCGCAAAAAGGCCCAATAAACCCGCGATATTTAAAGGGCTTACCGGAAAGTTACCGGTAAAGCGATCGTTAAGGATTTAAAGGATTGGAAATTTCGGCGAAACCAAATCCGAATCCAATTAAATTACAATAGTTAAAAAAAATACCGGGGGGTTACCAAAAAGGGCCAGCGGGCCGGTTGGAACCGAAAAACCCAAAGCAAATACCCAAAGGAATACCATTTTTTTTACGTAATTAGGTACGAAAAATAACATTTGCAATTACCGGTTAAATCCAAATGTTTAAAAAAAACGGCCAAATACCGATTATTTACGGTTACAATCGTTAAAATTGTTAAAATGGTTATTAAATGTACAAAAAGGAAAAAAAAAGGGCTTGTAGCTTTAAACGGGAAAAAAAGCCTTTTATATACCGGTACGAACCCATTTTTCCGAATGCTACAAAATTTTACAACCGGTTTTCCCAGGCGTTGCCGGGCATTGGGGCGGTTTAGCGGGATATCGTAAATTACCGGTTACTTACGGGGTCGTACGCGCGGTACAAACGGCCTAAAACAGGCCGTATCGAAAAAGGGCAATATGTTAAAAGCACGGGCAAAACCGCCCGGCAAAAAGCGGAAAGCGTTAAATGCACGGGCGAAACCGCCCGGTAAAAAAGGAAAAAGGGGGCGCTAATAACCAGCCGGGCACGAACCTCCCGGGAATATGCCGGCAAATTACCGGTATCGCGGCCAAAGCATAATAGCGAAGCTAAAAAATAAAATAAAGCTTAAATTGTACGAAAGCGCTTGGAACGCAAAGGATTTAAAGGACCGACCCCGGGTGCCCGAAAGGGCACGAGGGAAGGGGAGGTCAAAGAAAGAACAATTTTTGTTGGCGATAGCACCTTTGGTAGGAGATTTACGGAGGCCTGACAAAGGAAACACCGCATCCGGCCCGTGACCCGGTAACCACCCGCCTCTGCACCGATTAACCCCTGACAGCAGGGGGACCGCTCTTCCGATGCCTTAAGCATTTGATATTTATGCCTAAGGCTTCTTCATAACAGTATATACTGTTTACTTTGTAACAATAGCGTATATATTAATAAAGTTATTTACAGTTTAATATTGTTATAAAATGCATATATTTTGTTAGTAAACCTTAACAGTTTTTTTATCCGCAATTTATGCATTATTAAATATATATAACTGCATATTTTAATACGTTATATAAATGCCCGCCTTTTCGGCTATATAAAAACGTTTATCTTATATTTATAGCATTTATATACAATTTTTAAATGCTTTATGAAAACAGTGAGTTTATGTGGGAAAAGGTGCGCGGAAAGGGGGGGTGCGCGGACAGGGGGTGCTTTGACTTACATATTCGGTTTAAAAGTCCCCCACCATTTTCTTCATGTCTATCTCCCCGTATTCCTTATATTCTCTGCCTTCTTATATCTTTCTGCAAATATCCGGTTGCCACAGGTGGTTCGGTTGGTGAACTTTATTCTCCCCGATGCAGCCTTCCATCTTAAAGAGGTCGTCTTCGCCGTCACCACCGCGTACCTTCACTTCGAGCTCCTCTAGACAATGACTGCTAATTAAATCCAGAACCCGCACGCACCTGCCAGCTGCTCTTAACAGTGTGCTCTCCCGATTCCTCCGGCAACGCGGCGGACACAAAACCTAGCCAGATCCCATCTTCCACAGACTCCGTTTTTCAAGATGACCAGTGCCGTGCTAACATGATTTCTACAACACCCTCTTATCGAGCTCGCCTCGCAACCATCTCTAGTTCATACTGACCTATCAACCTATTTATGTATACGTATCAACCACAAATACTTGCAAGTCCAACAAATTCTATCCCCGCATGCCGCCATTTCGTTTATAGCTTGTAACTACTCGGCGGTCACAGTGGTGATCAACTGCAGACCTGGGTGCTTTGGTACAAACTGGCTGACTGGGATTGAGATGCCAGACCATCTATATGGGGGAGGGGCGTGGGAAGAAGAGAACGGAGATAGATTGATGGTATTGGCACAGTACCTGTCATTCGTGCGATATCTAAATTAAGCACCTCTTACTTACATGCGCTCGGCGGGCAAGGCCGATCGGGGCTAGGGATTACCGCTGTCCTGCATCCCATAGCTTTGCAGCACGCTGGCGGCAATGTCTCGCCAATGGGCTACAGCTCCGTCATTGCCGGTGGCGTACATCGTGAGTGGGAGGAGTGGCGCCAACCAAGTCTCTGGGAAGCAGAATAGAAGCGCGAGAGGAAGATGTCCTGTGAGTCTTCCGGTGTGTTGTCGCGGGACTTGCGCGTCGGCAGTCGGCAGATGGCAGGAGTGGTAGGTTATGTGTAGCACGCTAAGCCCCTGGGGCTCTGGGGGCGGGATCAAGGATTAGATGGGACCGCGACAACGGTGAGTCCGAAAACCCCTGCCGGGAAAAAGGGGCCAGGCTTGAAGTTTGACTGGACTTCAAAGTTGGAGTCAGCGAGCGATGATCCCGCGGAGCACGCCGCCGCCGTGACTTCGAGTCAGCGGACCGATGTGATAGACACAGAGCCATGCCAACACATACGGCAGCGCCTGGGCAGATGGTTCGCTGCTCGGGTGGTTTGGTGTCTTGGCTCAGGAGCTAAGCAGCCAAGTGTGGGCTCTACGTCATGGAACCAAGTGTCCCAAACACTTGGGGTCGGGAACCCCCCTTTTTAAGCGTGCGGAAACAAGGCTTGGACGGAGACGAAAGGCTGTTCCAGAACGTGAAAGGTCAAGAAAATCAAGGCCTGCTTGCTGGTCTCCCTGGGGCACCAGTGACGGGATCATCCCACCCATGCGAGCACAACATCGGTATGCTCGGGTCTAGTCGGCTGCGGTAGTGGCTAGCTGTCATGGCAGCACTGGTTGCGGAGAGATGGAGACGGGAAAGTCAAATTGATGGAGAGGCGGTCCGGAGAAATGCTTTGGAGGGAAAAAGGTGGCAGGGCAGCGAACACAAGCATGGGAAGCAAAGCCCAGTGGAGAAAAGGCTCGTGCTCAGTGATGCCCTCGGGGCCCGCGGAAATATGGGCCAACGCTGCGCCACAGGTGCCTATACAGGTACCCACCTACCCTTGCCCAATCAGGCTTGGCTAACGCTAGTGGCAGCGCCTGCAGCACGCCAACCGATGCTCAATTGGATCCCAATTCCGCCCATTTTCTGGCTTTCCCCCCAGACGAAAAGCCAAGCGGCCAAGCAAGCCAACGAGGTCTCTGGTGCGGGAAAGCGTGACGCCTTGATTCTCACTGGACGACCCGCTTCTCTCCGTCTGGGTTGGGTTCCATGGTCTTTGCGGCCAGCCCCTGACGAAAAGAGCCGCCTCAGGGATTGCAAGTGGTTTTTTTTTTCGTGCCTTCCCACAAGTATGCATGGGTCATGGAGGCCGCCCGCCGGCCACGAGCGCACCCGCCCACCTGCACCCACCGCTGCACGCTGCCCTGCTGCGTTTCGAAATCCCGCGCGCTCCGCCGATTGACAAAAACCACCAGCATTGAACACCGACCCTCTCTGGCCAGCATTGTCGTCCTTCCCCCCTCCGCCCCATCGATATCGATAGACGGGCCTCAAGGCGCATTGAACAGAAGGATCCATCCAATCTCGAGCTGGGAATGTCGGTCCCATAGCTGTCTCAGGGTACGGCTCGCCCACGGCACACCCGCGGTGCGTCCACCACGACCGTGGCCATGAGTTCTCTCACCATTGCCGCTCCGACGGCCGCCAGCGGCCTGTCCTCGACGACACTCACGGCCTCGCTCCCGACCGCCATCATGGACTCGGCTGTGCCCTCCGTCATCCTCGGCACGGCGAACTCGACAAGCCCCAGCCTCCTGACCACCGATTCCAGCGCGGCCGCCGCCATGGCCTCGGCCACCCAGGCCGTCGCGCTTCACTACGGTGCCTCCAACTCCACCATCAACACCGGCCTCAAGAAGGACAACTATGGCGCCTTGCGCGCCTATCCCGAGCCCTTCTCCCGCGGCGTCAGGCAGCTCGGAGACCTCGCCAAATATGTTGCCGATACCACCAATTCCCAGCCGTACGAGATCCCTATCGACGAGCCAACATGCTTCATCACGCCCTCGGACCGCTCAGTCTCGGTTGACCCGCAGATGGATTCACTGCCGACGAACTGCACCCTCGCCTGCATGCAGCCGCGCTTGCTCTTCGAGCCCACCACCTTCGCCACGTGCATCCAGCTGGCCACCGCCGCCATGCTCATCGAGGCCGGCCAGGCCCAGGTCGACAGCGCCCACGAAACTACCCGAAAGACGTCGCAGGAGCTTGCCATCGCGGGCGACCTGAGCGGCTTCAACGGCACCAAGGTCCTGACCGACATGGTGATATGCGCCGTCGCCGCCTGCAAAAACAAGGGCAAAGGCGCCTGCAGCGAGGATATAATCAGCCTCGCCGACAACCCCATTCAAGTCGGCAACTTGGTGAGAGTGCACGACGTGCTCCAAGATTACTGCGTGTATGCCGACAGTTTCGTCAATGAGGACGTGGCAGGCCCGGGAGTGCTCATGTCGTATATCTTCCAGACCGGCATAGCCTTGCTCTTCTTCGCGCTGTCGAAGCTCTTCACTTCGGTCTTCCGGCCCTTCATATGGGCCTACATGCAGACCCGCAGCACCACCCGCGCTGACGCGTGGAAGCTGTCTGGCGACAAGCAGCGGCGGCTGGCTCTGACCCGCGGCAATGCGGCCGTGATAAGTTCCATGGTTGAGTTCCAGGAGGTGCAGGGCTATTTCGTGGCCGCGATCCAGGTTGCAACCCTGGTGACATTCCGTGGCTCCGAGGGGCCCGACCTCAACACCGTCACCTCCTTGGGCTCGATTCTGTTCAACTCGAGTCTGGTCCAGATGCTGGCCGTGTCGGGTGTCCTGCCCGTCCTGCTGGTACAGTGCTGTCTTCAGCGCGCCGGCATGCGCTGGTGGTACACGCTCGGCATCTCCACCGTCGTCTTCATACTTGGTATGACGGTCGACGTCCGCGGTGGTTACATGCTGCCCGACTTCCAGCTGGTATTCGATTATTTCAAACGCGTCGCTCCCGTGGCCGAGTGCGGCGACAACCCGAACCCACTGGTTTACTGTGCTGGCGACCTAAACTTTATCGTATCGGATGATCTGGGCCAGAACATGTCATACTATGTCTACCCGTCCCTGGTGGTTGAGCAGGCGTCTTGGTGGCTGTGGCGCCGATACGCCATGGAGCGCAAGGCCCGTCGTTGGGAGCGGTCACGCCCCTGGGCTCGCGTGCTGCGCCGCAAAGTCTGGCCGGCCGTCTGGTACTTTTACTGGCTCCTTCTCCAGATCGTTCTCACCCTCTTCACCGTCCTCTACTTTTTCAACATATTCACGCTCGTGAGCGATTCGACCCTGGTAAATGGCCAGAGGTGGACCTACGGCCAGCTGGTGGCTGTCATGGTGTGGGCTCCCATACTCGGGAAATATCTTTACTTCAACATTTGTAAGTTTTCTTGGTCTCGACAAAAGAGACGCTGGCCCGCTAGGGAATCGGAAGCCACGGTGAGGTGGACGGTAACTAACCACTTTTTTCCCCTTCCCGCAGTTGGTATCGAAGAGGGCTTCGGAAGACGACTCGCGAAGCACTACAAGGTTGTCCACCGCTCATCACGCGAGGAAACGGATGAGGAAGATGACGACGACTCGGAATCTCTGGATGGGCACCAGGTCATGGAGCAGGGGGTTGAGCTCAAGGTGACCCCTATTCCCTCCTCCACGACACTGAATGTGATTCCATCGCCGGGGGCAGACGGTCCGCCCGCGAACTCGAGGAGCCCCTCGTCGCCGAACCCGTCGTCGGGACTGATGACGTCGACGCCCGACACGCCTACCGGCCCTGACCCAATACCTCCGCCACCTGCGGCGTCGTCGATGAGGCCGCCAGATCACTTTGTGAACCCCCACCCGTCGATGCTACCGAGCTATGGGGCGTCAGACGCCGACGATGATGTTGTAATGGTTGGCGGCGTCGCTATTGCTGTGGAAAACCATCCCCCGATGGACCGACGGGGGGATGTTTAATGACTTGTTGAGTCTGGGTGTGTGGCATTCACTCACCCGCCAGCGTGTGACCATGAATATTTTCCTCGAAAGCGACCACATCATAGAACACCACCCTCTGTTGTCGCCTGTCCGGCCGGTTTTGCTTTTGTGCAGCCGTGCATGAGCACCAACTGGACCGAACTCCGGTTGGGGTGGAACGTCGGACAGACACTGTCCGATGTTTGCCGTGTGGGGGTTCATAGGTTTCGAGGATCAGGGTGAGGACTGTTCAGGTCTTTCCCCCTACACCTTGGAATCCGCGCCGGATGCAAACCATCTAAGGAGGCGGAATCCATTTCTCATCTCTCGTTAATGGCGGCTTTCCCTTTCACCCTGTGGCCTCGAGGTCAAGTTTTTGACTTGAGCCCTTGATCCTTTGTCGAGCACTTACCAATTGGGTGGTCTTGAGCAGGACGGGTGACTAGAGGTATGACCAGGGGAGCATCGGCCTATCGCCGAATATCTTGTCGATGAAGCTTTGCGGCTCGGTGGTCTCGTCGCAGGCTGACGCACGAGACTGCTCCCACTCTGCTATCCAGGCATGGAGGTTGTGACAACCATGGATCCACGATTTCCCCCATGCAAACATGGCATTCTCGGGAGAGGTCATGGTCCTTTGCGAAACTCGGAAAACGGACGAGAGCGGTATCGGCGAGGCAAAGGTGGGAGGGCGATACCATCTTTATATGATAGATGGTGCCACCACTGGCCGCTATAGAATATCCCGGAGATGAGGACGGACGGGGGTATTTTGGATACGAAGGACGGTGTCCCACGTTGCCTCGACGGATTCGAGGAAATGATGTAGCGATGCTGGAACGAGCGATATGCATCTTGTGTATAATATACTTTCGTGCCGGCTGCGGCACCCACTTCATTTGTTGGCTTTTCTCGGGTGATCATGCTTAAGTGCAAGCACTATTAGCCGCCTGCCACCCGCATAACGGAACGGGTGTGACCGAAGATGGCCGCCCAACCGCTGTCGCACAGCCACAAACAATTTTATGTAGCAGCCACAGCACACTCGCCACACTTCACCATGACGCAGTTGTGGGCCGCAGACGGAAGATCGTGCAACAGTGGAACGCGCCTCAGCAGCATCCACGTCTGGAAATATTTTGATCCTTACTTCAACTCATTTGCGCGGGCCAACCCTGGCTCGTGCAAACAAAAGAACAAAGCCAGAACAACCCCAGCCGCCCGACGGCATCAATCGGAGCCGAGTCGCAAAACCACAATTCCTTGCCGTCCTCAAAACGCCCCCTTTGCCCGCCCTTCTCTCCACCATGGCCGAGTACTGGAAGTCGACGCCGCGGTACTGGTGCAAGCATTGCTCCATGTACGTGCGCGACACCAAGCTGGACCGCGCCAACCACGAGGCCACGGGCAAGCACCGCGGCGGCGTCGAGCGCGCCCTGCGCGACCTGCACCGCGGCCACGAGCGCGACGAGCGCGAGAAGGAGCGCGCGCGCCGCGAGATTGAGCGGCTCAACGGCGTCGTCGGCGGCGGCGGCCCTTCGTCGTCAGATGCCGCCGGCGCTAGCAAGCCACGGACCGGCCCGCCGCCGCCGCCGACGACGCCGCAATCACAGCCACAGCAACAGCAACAGGGAGGGGCGGCGGCGGGCCTGAGCAAGGAGCAGCGGCAGGCGCAGCTGGAGCAGCTGGTGGCTATGGGCGTCAGCATACCCGACGAGCTGCGCGCCGACATGGCCATGGCGGGCGACTGGACCGTGACAAAGGTGCGGGTCGTGGACAGGGACGGGAACGGCGGCGCCGGCAAACCGGCCACGGACACGGCGGGCGTGCGCGGGAAGCGGGAGCGCGACAAGACGGGGGACGAGGTCGAGGCCGAGGAGGCGGCCGAGGGCCTGTTCAAGCGGCCCAGGCGCTGGGGCCGCGGGGACGCCAAGGCCGTTGGCGGGGCTGAGGACGCGGAGCTGGAGGCGCTGCTGGGCGGGGACGTCGTGGTCATCAAGAAGACGGAGGGGGATGACGACGAGGACGGGAAGTCGGCGATCAAGAAGGAGGATGGGGGCGGGGTCAAGAGGGAAGATGGCGCGGCGGCGGCGGCGGCGGCGGCACCGGTCAAGAAGGAAGAGCAACCGGCCGACGTCGCTCCAGTCAAAGACGAGCCTCGCGATGAGGAAAGCGGCATCGGTGAGAGCGTACCTGGTGATGCAGGCGCCGCCCCGGCGGTTATGTTCAAGAAGAGGAAGCCCAAGAACATCCGGCAGAGGTGAGAGGCTGGATGAGAGACAGGTTTGCTTGTGCGCTGCCGTGTCTCTCTCGCCTGCAGCGTCAATGCCCTCTCAGCCGACTCGGCCTCATCCGGGGCGCGACTGTGGCATCTCCAGCGCGCGCTTTCAGTAGCCGCGTGCCCCCAGGGTAACGAATTCTACGGATCAGCCGGTGGGCGGCGTTCTGAGAACTGCCGGCGCTGCCAAAGCCCCTACCGACGACGGTGTTCTTGCCAGCAAACAGTGACGCACCCATTTCGCTGCCCACCAGGTCCACGGCCTACGCGATCGATCCTCCAGCTCGGCTAAGAGATGGATCCTCTGGCTGAACTATGAGCATCACTCTGATGCTTGTTTCTGTGCCCGCCCTCCCTGCTCCTACGTCAGCCATGCGCAATACGAAGACGCGGGTTGAGACATTGTCATCGGTCGCGCGGTGTCACGGTTCTACCTGGCACCGGCACGATGGGGTAAGGCGCCGCTGTGTTTTGGGGCTGTTTGTTCACGAGCGGGACAGCCGTCGAACAGAAAAGGCGGTGGTGCAGACACAAACGGCCCCAGACCATTCCGTCTTCAGGTTACATTTCGTGCACCATCCTGTGAAAACTTTGTTTCGCTGCGAGTACCCAATACATCACCATCGCCCAGCATGATGCCTCAGATCGTCATCCCATGTTTTTTTTCCCCACCCATGTTCAGGCTTTGCCGCCATCTCGTCCCATGGCGGTCATATGCGGGAATTTAGAATCTGACAGAAGGGATCCTCAGCTTGTTTGCCCCCATACCCAGACAGTCGGGCCGTCTGGGTGTCTCCACCCAGACCTGCTCCAGCCACATTCCAAAATCCCTAGCCACAAGACACGTCACGCAGGGGCTGCCCATTCAGGTGCTAGAATTTGGAACCGAGACTGGGTGCCAACTGGCCGCCCGCCAACAGGGTGGTGCATCTTGCATACTGCAGGAACCCTGCTGCTCTGCTGCTGCTGCACAAGTCGGCGTTGGACACCGCCTGAAGTCTGCGGCGACCGCACCCGGCTTTCTCCTGCGGGCAGCCGCTTGTGGTCTCCTGGAAAAGCAGCAGCCACAGCATGAAAAGTTTGTGCCATGCATGCTGCCGATCTTGCAAGTGCCAGGAGCTCCTCCCGCGGGATGCGAAATTTACCAGTTCCCAGAGGTCCGACAATGGAGCCCTCGCACATCATTGGCGTCTACACAGTAGTTCTCTTTCCCCTTTTTGTCGCTTGGCCGAGGTGAATTCGCTAGATCCTCTAACCACCTCGCCGGTTGGCTCGGAAAGGACCGTCTGTCCTTGATGATGCAGCCTCGGCCCATCCCCTGGCGCCACGGAAGGCTCTTTTGAGCCCGGCTGTTGGGCCCTGCTGCGTTGGCTCCTGCCGGGCCATCTATCGGGCGTGCATTGGTTCTCACTTCTCGCCCAACCCTAACGGACCCAACCCTATTCGCCCCTTCCCCTCCCTTCCCTTCCCGCGCTCTGAACATGACCGGGAAGGATGGGCGTGCAATCAGTGAGCACGTGTCTCTCCTGCCAAACCTGGTCATTTCTCTTCAACTGGCGGGAGGCTGCCTCGACTTGGTGCTCCCAACACTGTTTCTTTCTGGCAGGAAAGACTCCACGGGGTTGGAATTGCCGACGTCTACGGTGACACGAGCAAGTCAAACTCGAGCCCACCTACGCTCATCTTTGGCGGTGAAAAGGAGCAGGCACATCTGCCTACCTGTCAAATTTGCTTGGTAAAGTGCCCCCACATTGCATTCCTGTTCCTGCAGAGTGCAGTCGCGCTCCATTACCCGCATCTGTGTCGTTTGCAACCACCCAACACTCAACCCCGCGCGCTGCCATTGCCGTCATCCATACTGTCACCGAAGCTTCTTTCCCAGCCTGGTCTCATCAGATGCTCCTGTCCAGTGATGGAGTCGCCATTCCTATCGCAGAAGCTGCCTGCCAGCAAGCAAACACCACTTTCCACACACCCCGGGGTGGCTAGAGGCGCATTCCTTCCAGCTCAGATATGCAGACTGTCTCGGGTCTCTGGGGGTCAGTGGGGCGTTGGAAGACATGCAAATGTTCTGTCTTGGCCCAGAAACGAGACGAAACGAGCCGTTTGACCGTGTTTGTCTTCCAATATGGCGGCTGTGCGCGTGCGCGCGCGCACGCGGTCGTATATCTTTGCCCAGCCCCCTCCTCCCGGTCCGTGTCGCGCACACCTCTGCCTTCCACCCCGTCTTTCTCGCCTGCTGCCTGGTTGGCCGACTGGAGGAGTCTTGCCTGCTCGTGGCAATAGCACAAGTGGAGCCCTCATCATAGACCTCGGCCGAACAGCAGACAGTACGCCCTAATGCGCCTACCCCAACTACCACCTCGACATTGATACTGAGGAAGCAACCTCCCTTGCCGCCGCGCACCGCCCACCTTATCAACCTTATCTCGGCAGGCGTGGGACAACACGTCGTTGTGCTTGCCTCTGCGCCTACCTGCCGCAGGAAACGGTACGAGAGGCTGCAGGTGTTCCTGTCATCCATATTCACCCTCCTGCACCTGCCATGCACGTAGAGCACATCGAGACAGGCCTTCCTGCTCAACATTGAGTCCTATACCTCATCACCCGAGCCACCCAGCCCAAGAACAAAACTCAGTTCCCCCTTGACTTTGCACTCATCTCGCAGCTCTTCCACCGACACAACACACATAACATCTGCTTGCTCCCCAGACCAGACCATCCATACCACGCCAGCAGCTAATCTTCTTGGGCATCGTTTTGATCCATCATCGACATCCACAGCTTTCACGACTTAGCAACGCAGCAGCTTTTCAATCAAGACACGCCGAATCTTCCACGATGCCTTCGGCCGGTATCCTCAAGCTCGCCGTCCTGGCGTCGGTCACTTCGGCCGTGATGGCTCAGGCCGTCACTGACAAGATTGCTCCTCTCGGCCAAAAGGCGCCCGCTGGCTGCGTGGCCACGGCTCCCGGCCGTTTTGAGATCAATGTCATCGCCGCCACGGACACTCCCAAGCGCGACGTGTCCCCTGCCCGCCTCGAGGTCAGTTTTCTTGTCACATCTCCCTCTTCTCCCCATGAGGACTTTTGCTCTTGGTCGGCCTCCATACCACGCTCTCAAACCTCTTCGCCACGTACTGACTCTTTCCATGCTCGTAGAAACGCAAGGAGTGCGGTACCGAGGGTGTCCTCGTCATGTCGCTCAAGGACTCTGTCGCCAAGGACGCGCTGGACCGGACCGCCTACATCGCTAGTAACTTCCAGTTCCAGTTCGACGGTCCCCCGCAGGCCGGCGCCATCTACACTGCTGGCTTCTCGCTGTGCCCCAACGGCCTCCTTGCCCTGGGCAACTCTACACAGTTCTGGCAGTGCAAGTCGGGCGAGTTTTGGAACCTCTACGACCGCAACTGGGCCGCCCAGTGCGACCCCGTTGTCTTCAAGGCCATGCCTTGCGGTCCTGGCTCTGAGGCCATGGGGGCCGATCACGCTATTGGCGCCATCGTGTCCACCCAGATTGTCTCGACCACCATGGTCCGCCCCATCGCCGACGGCCAGCCCCAGGTTATCACCACCACGATCCCCATTGCTATGTGCCAGATTGGAGATGGTAAGTTCCCGCCTCGGCCGTGGTCAAGTCGGCTACTTTCCACGCCCACCCGCGGCTCCATTTGACTACACGTGCTAACCTCGCATCGTCTCGTCCGTGAACAGGCCAAGTCCAGGCCCACACAACACCCTGTGCTAGCATCACGCAGCCTCTCGCCACGGCCACCCCTCTGTCGCAGATTCCAGACGGACAGGTCCAGGTGCCTCCTCCCGCCCCTGAAGGCCCCACTTCACCGGCTGGCTCGCCGCCTCCTCCTGGATCGGCCCCTCCAGCCGACGCGACCACCCCCACGTCGCCGGAGCCCAAGACGGCCACGCCGAGTGACAGTCCCACGGATGAAGTGCCTGCTGGCCCGACTTCGCCTCCAAGCGCTCCTCCAGTTGGTGCCGGCGTCATTGCCCGTAGCAACGGTCTGGCTCTTGCTGCCGCAATTGCTGGCGTTGTAGGTGCCCTGATTCTTCTGTGAGAAGAGAGGAGAGAGACACGGAAGGTCCCTCACTCAGCGAAACTTGGTGCATCAAGGTGGTTCTCTGGTTCTGTCATGATTTTCTGCAAACAAGGATTTTGATAATACGGTAACGGGTGTGGGTCAGGTTATTCTCAGGCAAAGGAAGCGTGTGCGTGTCTTGCATTAGACTAAAATGACCACAGTTGGTAGCTTGATAGCTTTTGGAATCCAGTTAAGCATCATGCTGGACTTTGAGCCAGCCCGTTCTAAACCGCACATGGGCTAATTCGTATTAAATGTTTTGCAGCACCTAGCCACCCGTTAAACATGACGGTTAGTCCTCCAATATGTCGTTCAACACCCACTGCATCCCCGCCCAGTGCTCCTCAGCCGTCGGCCGGATGAACTCGGGCTGCAGCACAAAGCCGCCCTCGGCGGCGGTGCGCGGCCGCAGCTCGACGCTCCAGGAAAAGGTGGCGTTGTGGGCGCCGGCGTGGTAGTCGCGGCCGGAGCCGGTCGAGTAGTACAGCACCTCGCACGAGGGGCCGACCTGGTAGGGCATGCCCGTGGTGGCGTTGATGGCGGCCGCGTAGCCCGCGCCGACCTCGCGCTGGCGGGGCAGGTTGGCGGGCAGGTCCTCGGGCCTGCACGAGAAGCCCCAGGGCAGCAGGATCAGCTGGCTGTAGCTGTGCCAGTCGACGTAGGACCGGATGCCGGCCGGGCGGGCGGCCAGGCGGGCGCTGAGGGAGGCCAGGGCGCGGTTCTCGGGCGTGTCGCCGCCGGCGCGGCCGCGGAAGGTCTCGCCGCAGGGGTCGGACGAGACGGACCCGCCGTCGAGCGGGTGGTCCCACTGGAAGGCCCAGTTGCGGTTGTTGTCGGTGCCGACGCAGGTCGTGCCCTCGCGGGGCTGGCGGTTCTTGCGCCAGAGGCGGTTGGTGGTCTGGGTGTGGACGAATCCGTCCGGGTTGTGGAAGGGCACGATGTAGAAGTCGTACTCGTCCAGGAAGCGGGTCGGGTTCGGCTGGTTCGTCTTGTAGCCCGAGATGAGCTGGTGGGTGAGGTACTCGACCACCATGGTGGTGATCCACTCGCGCGCGTGGACGGTCGAGTGCCACAGGACGACGGGCTTGGTCCCGACCGGGCTGGGGCCGTTGTCCCCCCACATCTGGAAGAGGTGCAGGGGGCGGCCCTCGTGCGACTTGCCGTCGAGCTCGGTTATGCGCGAGTTGTTGGGGAAGGCGGCCTGCAGGTCGCGCCAGTACTGCAGGTGGTCGTCGTACGGGTGGTACGAGTCGAACCAGCTCATGTCCGGGAGGGCGGCGCCGACTTCCCCGCGGCGGCGGTGGAGGGAGGAACCACCGTCTCGGACATAAGGGCCCGGCCGGCTCTCGCGCCGGATCAGCGCGCCCAGGTCGGCGTGCAGGAGCTGCGCGTCGAGCCCGCGGCGGGCGGCCGAGAAGGCGGCGGCCTGGTCGGGCGGCACGACCACATCGAGGTCGCCGCCGGCGCGCATGGTGTGGAGCCGCCGCCGGCCCAGCTCGTCCTCGAGCGCGCGCGGGGCGTTGGCGACGCGGAAGACTTGGTGGCCGTCGTACGTGACGACGGGGTCTTCCGGGCGCGGGTGTGGTGGTGGGGCCGCCGAGGCGAGCGGGGCGAGGAGGAGGAGCGCCGCCGCCGCCGCCGCCGCCGCTCTTGTGAGGAATGTGGATTTCATTATAGGCTAAAAGTGAGGTCGGGGCGTTGCGGCACGACAGCGTGGTGTCGATGGCTTCCCTCTCTCACCTGGATGGGGAAGCAAGGAAGAGCGGCCTTTTATGTTATGGCCTGCATGTCCTACCCCTGCCATGACAAGAAGCACGCAAGGCGCAGAGCACGTAACCCTGCTATCGCTGGTGTGTGCGCCCCAATCACCTGCCGTTCTGGTAGATCGGATCTTTTTTTTGGGAGCTAGGGGTGGGTGTTTCGTTTCTTGCCCGCGCGGGAACTGTCCGACGCCGGGCAGTGCCGGGATCCGATGGTCGCTGCATTGCCGGAAACGGCAGGTCTGCAAAACGAGGGGTATCTCTTGGCGGCTTGGCGATGCCCTCATGCCTGTCATCCTGCGGGAGCACAAAACGCAAACGGGACATGGCCGCTTGTGCTTGCTCGGCCTGCAGACGGCGAGGGGAAACGATGGGGGAAAAGCTTTTTCTTCGCATAGCGGGAATTGGTGGTTGTGTCGCGCAGGCTCGCCTGGTGAAGTTGGAGAGGGATTTTTTGTTGAAGCACAAACGGGAAATGATGGATCGAATTGGATGTGCCGTCAAAAAAAGCAAGCATAATCGCAACGTTTATTGATACATCCTGGTCCAGCTCCTCCACGATGGACGAACAAGGCTACGCACGTGACCTCATCACTTGAGCGGGAATGTCATTGGCGGAGTGCCGCCCCTTTTAGGAACTCCGCCATGCGTGCGCCGCAGCCGCCTGTTTAGACAACTACATGAAGCGTGCTGCGTTCAAGAACAAATTCGCATGCAGTGAGTCCGCCGCCCACCGCTTGTTCAGTCAGCCTCTCCTTGATAATTTCCATGCACCATGGCGGTCTCCCGCCACCCCAGAGCTCTTTCTATACTGCTTTGCGGAATTCCGGCGGTTCCAGTTGGGCGTGGGAATTGGACATAAAAGCCAGTTAAATCCAACCAGAGATTCATTAAAAGACTAGCTAGGCTCTCTCCATACCCAAAACAAAATCTCACATTCCCACTAGACGACCCTCCCAAACATTCGCCAACATGGTCAAGGTCGTGATTGCAGGTGCCACGAGCCGTAAGAACCCTCCCGTTTCCTTCCTGCTTCCTCCTACCCAGGAAGTCCCGCTAACTCGAGGCCCACGCTACCCAGAGCTCGCAAGGGAGGTACTACAGGGACTGATGCGGTCCGGAAAGCACGAGTTGCTCGGCTTGTGCCGCGAGGTAACTTTTGACCCGCCACCGCCAATGTCCACTGTCTCTCTCTCTCTACTCCCCTCTAACTGACACTCGCTCCAAAAGATCACCGAAGAGGTCGCGGTGTGGTCCGGCTCCGTCTTGTCCTTGTCCGCCACCACGTACGAGGACAAGCAGGAGCTCGTCCGGCTGCTCAAGTCTGCCGACGTCCTCCTGTGCTTCTTCTCGCCCATGCACGACGCCGAGGGAAAGAACCAGATCAGGCTCATTGATGCGGCCGTCGAGGCCGGCGTGAAGCGATATGTTCCCAGCGAGTGGTTTGCGTAAGACGGGCTCTTCGACTTCAATCAACCCCCTTGTCACCCGACGAAAAAAGATATCGCTCGCACGAGAGGGCACAAGTACTGACGATCTGAAACAGCGGCGCCGGACTCGCCACAGCCATCGCCGACTTCCCCTACATGGCCAGCAAGCTCGCCGTGCGCAAATACCTCGAGGACCTCAACCGAGACAAGAAGGTCATCGAGTACACCCTGTTGTCCCCCGGCATGTTTATGGACTACCTGGCGTACCCCCGCAGCACCGACGCCACACACACGCGCTCGTTCGAGACCTTTATCAACATGCAGGAGGCCCGCGGCTTCTACATGGAGGGGCACGAGCACGACAGCTTCACCCTCACCGCCATCACCGACATTGTCAACGTGGTGCTGCGCGCCATCGACTACGAGGGCGAGTGGCCCGTCAACGGCGGCGTCGCCGGCGAGACCGTCACCATCCGGCAGCTGATCGAGCTGGGGGAAAAGCTCAGGGGTAAGTTCGCGGCATTTTCTTTTCTTCCTTGGCTAGCGGACAATCTCTAACTCTCGGGGGGCGGCTGCAGGGAAGTCGTTCGCCATCGAGGTGCTCGACCCCAAGGATGTGGAGGCCGGGGACCTCAAGGTCACCAAGCTCGACCGGATAACCCACCCGTCCATCCCGCCGGAGCAGCTGGAGTACTTCACCAAGGCCGCGCTTGCCGCCACACTCCGCGCCATCGCCACCGGAGGCATGGTGGTCGACGGCGAGTGGAACCGCCTGCTTCCGGACTACAAGTTCATGACGGTCGAGGAGCTGCTGCGCAAGCACTTTTAGAATGATGCTTGTGGTGGGGTGATATCAGAAAGATGGGCGAGAAGATGGGATGGGCGCCTGTCACCCATCCCCGCCGCCCAGTGCCCAGGAGCCGCGTTGCGTCCGGCGTGAGATGGGCGGGCTGTCAGTGACTTGGCTACTGTCTAGACATAAGATACTTGCGTAGATAGCTAACGATAAATCGATGCAATTTCCATAAATGCTAGTTCGCAGTGTCTGCCTCTCGAGGCTTTCTGGCTGAAGGCCCCCAACACTGCACCCTTCGGCCGTTCGCCGAGTCCCAAGCGTACCCCTGCGCAGAAGCAGACTACAGTAGTGGCGGTGATAACCTCCCGGGCCTAGAATGCCAGAAACATACATGCTCAAGCCCTAGCCATCACCGGTTTTCAGCCGGCCGCGACGAGACGGTGACCTCGATCTCCACATCGTGCTCCTGAGTGCACTGCTGGGCGCCGTCGGCATCCGCCAACTCTTGACAGACGAAAGGGATGCTGCCCACGCCATAGGCGTCCATGGCGAGCCTGTAGTAGGAGATGTCAGCAGTGTCAGGTGCATGAAGGAGGGGCGGATGAAGCCGAAGAGAGATCCCGAAAGGTAAAAAAAAAAAAGAAGAAAAAAACACATACGGACTCCCAGTAGAATCCCCGCCGCCACCACAGATCCACGTCCCCTGGACCGTGAGCTCGTTGGCGGCCGCGTCGTACCGGTACGAGCTCCGGGGCGCCGTCGGGTCGCGCGTGTTGTGGACGCAGTTGACCCACTCGGACGGCGACACGACGGCGCCGGCGCCGGTGCCGGGCGACGCGCACGGCTCGCTGTCGCCCGCCAGCGCGTTGCCGAGCCGGAACCGGAGGTCGGTCGCCTCGCCGCTACCGGGGGCCCGCTGCCACCGGGTGAGGGCCGCGCCGAACACGCGCAGCGTCCGGAGCGCGAGCGATCGCTCCGTGCAGTCGTCGTCGTCGTCGTCGTCGTCGCCCTTGACCTGCCGCGCCGCCGCGGGCGGGGGACGACGGGGGAGGAGGAGGATGCCGGGGTTCGCGGCGGTTGGCGGGAGGGCCGAGGCGTGGGCGAGGAGACTGTGTGTTTTGCATCGAGCGGTGAGTTGGGCCCGATATATTTGGTAGGGTTTGCGGAAACGTGAGAGACAAGCTTTTTCTTCTTTATTTTTTGTTCCTTTCGTTTTTGGATCGTCGTTTGGAAACAATGGGTACCTGGGTCTACGGCTCAGATCTCCGGCTAAACTTACACCGTCCCGATGCACATGGCAGCAGCCTTCACAACCAGACTCTTCATCCTGTCTTATTTTTTTCCTTTCGGGTTCCGATTTCTACCAAAAGACAATTATCGAATGAGATGACCAGCAGGAGTCGTGAACGTGTTTCGCATGTCTGCTCCGGGATGTGGGAGTCCCCTTAAAGAAGTCTTGGAGAAAAGCGACGGCCGCCATGCCACGCGGATCGTTATTGCTCAAGCCGTCGTGGGGGGGTTGACGTCAACCTAGCTGCCTCGCGACTGGTTCCGTTCCTCCCACCCGGTTTAGCATAAAATCGAGCTCAATCTGTGAGTGCATATCGGCTGCCGTCGGGCGTACGGGGGTGAGGGGCGGCAGTACGGCTGGACAGGGGCGGAGGCTAAACAGGATCATTGCTTGCTGATGCTAGGTCATCCCGGGATGAGTCGAAACAAGTCGAGGGCAGTTCACCCCACCTACCCAGCAGAAAACATCCCCCGAGGCTAGGGAAGTTGTCAAACCCATGTCGAGCGTGGCTCAAAATCGAACATGGCACAGGCAATGCTTGCCAAGTCAAGGCTTCAAGATTCTTGGCTCGCACTCGGGACATGGCACGTATTTATCAAGAGGATTGGTTCCACGCGTCGCATTAAAGAACAGAAACGATATACACAAGTCTACGACAAAAAGATGCCGTTGGCGACCCACAGCAAGACATATACAGTAACTCTAACGCCACGGCCCTCCCAGAGAGTCTATCGAACAAGGAATCTCTGGTACAGGCTGGCCAGACTCGAGTCCGACCATACCAAAGGCGCCGAGGCGCCTGTGCCAAAGCACTGAGGAAATACGGAGGCCCAACAAAGGGGTCCGATTTACTGGTCGATCTCCTCGGAGAGGACTTCCCTGGCCCACTTGAGGGCGACCAGGGCGGTGGCGCGCCTGTCGAGCATCTCCTGCCTCTTCTCCAGGGAGCGCCTGTTTTGCTTGGCGTTGTTCTTCTTGGCGCCGTTGCCGTTGCTCTTCTTGGCGCCCGCGCCCGCGCCCGCGCCGTTGTTCTTCTTGGCGCCGACGGCGTTAGCGGCAACGGCCTGATTCTGTTTCTGAACGAGATCGGGGTTGACCTTGAGCATGGCGTTAATTACGGCGCGACCCTGCTCAGACTCGTCCTTGGCGGCGGCGCTGGCGGCGGCCACATCCTTAAAGGCCTTGGCGTTGGCAGCGACCGAGTTCATGACACCCTGCAGGGTGTTGGCGGTGGTGATGGTGTCGGGGTCGTTGACGTTGGGGGTGGTGTCGGTCTGCTGGATGGGGAAGCAGCTACCGAAGTTCTGGGCGTTACGGCAGCGGATGGTGCCAATATCACCGGTGGAGCCTGTAGGGTTGGGTTGTCAGTGGACTGGGGTGTGCTGGGTTGGCCTAGGGGGGGCTAGCTCATGTCATGCGTCTCTGCACTCACCTCCGATCAGGGTCATATTGGTTGGGAGGTCGATCGTGACCTTGACCTGGTTGTTGGCGGCGTTGGCTTGCTTGACGGTGAGAGGCGTCTGGCCGGTAGCACCGTTGCCGTTGCTGGTGAGGTCCATGTCGCACTTGATCTGGGGGTTGGCGCCGCCAGTGACCTTGAAGGTGGCCTCAACCTTGCCGCCGGCCGTGACCTTGGTGACAGCGTTCTTGGTGATGGCATCCTCGGTGTTCTGGCCAATGTCGATGTTGCCGTTCAGGAGGGTGCGGCCGCACTGGTTGACAACGCTGCCACTGATCTCAGCATCGCTGATGATCTGAGCATCCTTGGGGTCGGTGTTGAGGAGCTGCAGGGGACCGCTGGTGCCGCTATCACCCTTGGCGCTGACCAGGATGATACCCTGGACCTGGTTGGCACCTACAGCACCACCACCAGCACCAGCACCACCAGCACCAGCAGCCCCGCCCCTGGCGGCACCTTTACCGCCGGTGGCCTTGTTGTTGTTGTTGTTGGCCTTGCCCTGGGCGGCCTGGTTGGCGCTCGCGACGGTCAGAAGAGCCGTCAGGGCCAGGATGCGAGTGATGTAAACCATTTTGTTAGATTAAAAGATGGAGGAAGGGATGAACAAGTCTGTCTGTGGTGCGACTGCGTGGGTAAGGGTGTGCCCGGCACTAGAGAATGGAAGCAAAGGAAGGAATATAGCGAAAAGAAAGCTGCTATGGGTGAGAAACAGACAGGCCTGCTGGAGGTTGATGAAGGAGAGAAAAGAATAGAATGAGGTGATGAGGGAGGTGCTACCAGCCGAAGATAAATGATCTGGGCAGCGGTGGTTTATAGACTCGCATCTTGAGACTATTTCCTCGTGTGGAGCCGGACACGAAAAGGGAAAATGTCACAAGGATGGAGACCTGGCCGTTCCTCCGGCAGCCCCTTTCTCCATCGAAGCATCGTTGGGCCCTTTCCGCCAGCCGCGGACTCCATCTCGACTGAGCAGGACGGGCAGGGTGAGGCGTTGTGTGGATGGGAAGGTGGGGCTGGGGGGGAGCAAGGGTGATGATGGTGTGTGTACCTAGGGGGCGGGTGGGAGTTGGAGATCAGCAACCACCGCAGCGTGCCCTCTGGCCGCCCTCTGCCCAGGGAGCCAGGGAGCCAGTGATCCAGGGTTCTGCATAGGGGACGGGCGCGGCGGCGGCAACAGACGGGATGATGGAGGCAGGCACCCCCAAGGGCAAGGGCGACAAAAACAGAGCCCTGGACTCCTGGAGGTGCAGCAGGGCGGCGAGCAGGGTTGTCGTCGCTGCGAGGCAGCGAGGGTTTTGCAACGGGAGGCGTCGCGGGGTGGGTCCACGTGTGGATCGACGCGGGCGGGCGGGTGTGGCCGCATTGTCCAATGCCGTTTCGGCCGCCTCAGGCTGCGCGACCTGATTGGAGCGCCCTATTTCTGGCCGGTCGCGTTTGGTGCTGTGGCCGCAGATCCGGGCTAGACCGACACACGGGGTGCATGACTCGTGCCCCAAAAGGGGCAAAACAGCGCGCCACAGTGGGTGGGTTCAACGGTGGAGCCTCCATTTGCCAGAAGCTGCAAGGTGCAAGCTGGCCACCGCCGGGTTTCGTCTGAGATTTCGCCTTTTGTCCGTGCAAGGCGGGTTTGCCTGGGTGCGTTGGGTGGGTGCGTTGCTTGGGTGCTTGTCTACGCGCGCGTTGGATGTGTCCGATCCCCCTCGACCTGGGCTTCTCTTTCAGGAGAATGGCTGGGCTGGGCAACATCGCTCCAGCACCACCCTTAATCTTAGTGCCAATCTCCTCCAGGGGCCTGATGGACCGAATTTTCCAGATCAATGTGATTGACCCGGCCGTGTGGGGGGGGAGCTGCCAAGTCTGTCCCTTTTTGGCGCTGATTGTTTGTTTGACAGAAAGTTTTGACGGGTTTGACGCTGTCAGTCAGCGGTTGATCACCAAACGGCAATGCACGAAAAAGTAATGCTTCCAGCCCATGTTTGGCTTCAACAGCAACCCTCTTAAGCCGGTTTAATTCAGCAGGCACATTAGATGAGTAGGGATCGCAAAAGTTCTTTTTACGCAGCGGCTTGATAATAGAGTAACCTAATCCGAAGCCCTTTTCCAGACCATTTATTAAATTAAACCGGCTTGAGAGGGCAGAGATCTTCCCGACAGGAAACGGCACGGTAGGGCAGACACTTCCCGCCGGTTGCACAAGACATGGAGGGCTTGCATCGATCAAGATTACTGGTATGCTGCATTGCGCCGCGCCGTCGCAGACCAGATGGCCGCAGGTCAGCAGAGCAGCGACAGAGATCTCCTGGTTTTGGAAAGCCGCCCCCTGGCACGCGATCCCGCCATCGAACGCACCCCTGGCGTTTGACGCTGAAACGAGACAGGGCCTGGTTGGAGATGTGACGGCTCGAAATCGCACGGCGGCTAGTGGGCGGGCTGTACTACAGTAAGCGTGGTAAGCTTGTTTATACAACGTGAAAGCGAGCCCATTGCCGGCACCCCAGCACCCCAGCACTTCGGCGTCCGAGTGCGCCGTTGTGCGCCGCTTCCACTTGCAGGCATTGAAAGGGGCCCACTTCTTTGTTTAGCGCAGGCGAGTTTGCATCTCTGCACGACCGCTCCAGCACCGACCTGCCACAGCCGCCATATCTACCAATTGCTTCGTCCATCGTGTTCGTGAAAGCTGGAGATTGACAAATTTCTTCGTGCTTAATTAACCTAGTCCTGGAGGTCGGCAGGCTGCGTCATATCAGCTTGTCTTGTTCTGTTTGGTTTGATTTTTACAGCCCAGTGTCATTCGTCCAAAGTCTTACTAGCATCACACACGTCGCGATGCAACTTCCTAACCGGACGGTCCGCTTTTGATCCTTACAACAGCAGCAAATGCCCGCCAAAACAACAAGCATAACCTAATATGCCCAGCTGCATTTGTTTTAGCGCCGGTGATACCAAACAAACACCGCGTCGAGTCCCTGTGGCGGCGGCCGTTTATAATCTGATCAATGTAGAGATGGAAAGGCTCGGGTTGGGACGGGCCAAGCCGGCACTCAGCCCAATGCATCAATGCTCTAAATCGTGCGCCACATCTACGACCTAGCAGCTCTGCATATGACCCAACTGTGGAGTGCAATCCCCAACGAAAACCTCCACTGACAACGTGGGAGAGTGGTTAATCCGTTGCCCTGCTATTCACCAGAATACCACAGGCAATGCCTTCGGGCGCGCGCGTTCGAATCGCGTCGTTGTCGATTTTTTTGTTCTTTTCCCCATCTCCTCCCACCCCTTGGCTCCTCCCTTTGTTGTTAGCTTTGAAAAGCACTCCTCCCTCCCTTGGCTTGTTTGCGATGGCATATTTCATTCGAATTACCAACCACAAATTTGCAGCCCTCGCCACGGGACCTGCTCCTTTTTCGCCGCCTCGGTTCGTGCATTGGAGGCGCCCATAAACCCTGCCACGTCTGCCTAACCACAAACAGCGCCCCTGGTTTCTGTGACGGCCGGCACCCGTACATTTCCCCAGTTGGCATTTCACCCCGACCGCCGCCTATTTCTCTTCCCCCAATGCTTTGGCGCACAATACTACACAGACCCGGCCACTTGCTCCGCACTGCGGCAGACATTGCCGTAGAATGCCCCCGTCCGCGAGTCGCGTCAAGATGTGCGAGGATGGCGCCCCTACCCGATCAATGCTGCCTCCTCCTTCACCAATCCTTGGCAGCTCACCCGGCACCGTCGCACCAATCGACCACGCCCGCTTCCAGAAATACCAAGCCCGTGCGTTTTTGTGCGACCCTGCCAGGGAGCCAGAAGCCAGGAATTGGGCTTCCTCAGCCGCTTGTCGCTATCACGTGATGCGATGGGCTTTAACTTCACTTGACATAATGGAAAGACGAGGAGGAGTGGATATGTAACCTTCTTACTCTGATAGACGATACATTTCGTGGCTGGGGATAATAAAGCAGCACCTGGCATATCTTTAATTGTCGGGGGTGGTTTATTGCTGCGCGCCACCAATACGTGTCCATGACGTCATTGTCCCTTGAACCGTAACACTCGAGATTTCCTCAACAAACGATTATTTGGGTAATCCGTCCTGGACGACTTGGATAAAATAAATATCATTTCGTAGCATGCTCTTTGTCTAATTTGCTTGTACTTCTGCTCTGGTTGCGACCCAATGCTTGTGTTTGGGATTCCGTGATGCTAACGAGCAAATAAAGCGGTGTTTGTCGTAATTGTTTAAGGATATAAAAATTAGTTGATGAACACCCACGACAAAATCTCGGATGCAGTACATGTAGTTCAAGTACCCAAGTGCTCACGATGCGGTTGTGGGTATTTTAAAGCCATTCAAGCATTGTTGGGTGCACTGGTTGAAGACTCTAAGCTCAAAATATCTAGGTGTTTCTGACATCATAGACCGCTGCCGACACTGCCCCCCACCCCCACCATCACAATGCTAGAGCTGCAATTACCCGCCTGCCCGCCCCTCCTAGATGAATTCCTACTGTCAAGCCGGCGATCGAGGCGGCTGCGGCGGGGGCTGGCCGCTCTAGTGCTCGAAGGGTTAATGAAGTGGCTGAGCGGCTTGTTGCGCACCTGTATGAAAGTGACAAGTAGTGGGTCCCGGGTCCCGTCATGACGCCTCGTCAAAATGCCCGCTGTGGCGTGAATGGCCAGAGTGCACGGACCGCACACGCGCGAACAGGGCTGCTATCCACTCCACCCAGAGCCCCGTCGCATTCAGGGAGCGCGACGGAAGATGTATCTGCGCCGAATCCTACGATCCCCGATCACGCCAACCTCTGATCCTCGCGATTGCGCCCCGTTAACGTTTTCCACTCTCGAACCCAGTCGCAACGGCTACCGAGAGACTTACCACGCCACGGTCCTCGAGTAGTATCTCGAGATGACCGTCGTGGTGCCGCCGTCGTGGCCACCACGGTGCTCCCTTGGTCGCGTACCTACCACATGAGCGGTGTAGCAACCGGGCCGCCCGTGGCCGACATGACGGAGCACAAGCTGACGTCGCTATGGCGGTTCTCGTCGACAAAGTGGCCAGATCCCGAGCCCCAGGGTCGCTAGTACGCGTCGAGCAGGCCGGCGCGGCGGTGCGGCGGCGCGGCTGGTCTAGGGGGGTCGTTCTCCGGGCCGAAGGAGGAGCTTGGGATGTGTGTTTTCGACGACTGTTCTGACAACTTTGATCGTCCCCTCACGGCCTCGAGCTTGGGGGCCTCAATCGATGAGAACCTAGCCGAGATCAAACCTGAAGATGACGTCGGAGTGGGGCCTTCTTGGTCGGACGCCATGATCACGCACCGGGAGGGCTCGGTCAACCAACATGGAGGAATCGTAGTTCGCTTCTCAGGCCTAGGGACATTCCCCGAACCGGATGCAAGGCCGTGATGGCGTCGTGGATGTCAGGCACTTCGGGCTGACAGCTTGACGCACTGGCTGCTAGCCACTTTGTCTCGCTGCCTCGACTTGCCCATCCTCTCCTGCATCATGGCTCGCGTTCCATCCGTATTCCGTGGTATATCCGGCTCCGTACCCGCGGCGCCGACATATCTGCCGTCCCCCAAACCGCTTGGCCAACCGGGTGGTTCCAGGGGCCCAGCCGTTCATCGTACATGCCAAACGGTGGGGGATGAGGTCGTTTGTGTTGGCCGTTTCCGAGGCCAGGGATAAGGTGAGGCCTCACGTTTTACTCACGCACAAAACACAGTCCATCCTCGTGCCTGAGCTCCCCCACGAGCGGGGTCACACGGCTGCTCTCTCCACCTAGGTGTATATCAGCGCACAAAGACCTTGGTCTTTGTTTCTGCGAGGTGCCTTTGGATTCAATGCCCATGCCCAGCGACGGTATGATTGAGTCAACTCTCCTAGTACTTTCCCCAATGTCTGGCTGGCATTACAGTTTCTGTATCCAACACTTTGCCGCTATCTCTAGGGCCTAGATGAGCCTGGCAAACGGCCATCGTCGCTTCGGCCGGGCGTGAGCAATGTTGCCCATCACGATGCTTATATCGGCGACGGCACGGGGTGTGACGCGACGGAGGAGGGGCTGGGTGGCGTTCGCTGCCGTTGCTGTTTTGGTCTTGCTATCGAGAAAGGGAGGCTACACAGACTCGGGATGCTCGGCCGGGCCATGACGACTCTGCGCTATGCGTACACCCTCCCCTATGATAATAGGATAGCGTCCTTGAACGATTTTGACGAGACCCGCGGCATCTTGGTGTGTTGATACTGTGTCTGCGACACTAGCACTAGGTTATGGCAAGGGTTAGCGCCTTCATCTTGAGGCTGTTTCAGGGGTGTGGACTGGTCTAGACGGCAGTGGCGGGAAGTAAGGTCTTTAGCAAACGAGGCTCACGCCTGTGTCAATGCCGTGCCGGCTTCGTCAGCCTCTTCCTTCCACTTCATCTGTCGTTTTCGGGTAGCCTACGCGCCAGGACAACCAGCGTCGGGCCCATGGCGACTGGGAATTTTATAGACAAGAAAGCTGCGGATATAGGTGGGATCGATCAGGGCGTCAGCCCGGATCGCGCGTCCTTTCGTCAGGGATCTCTTCATGCCTGTGAACCACGCGCTCCGGATTAGCAAGTGTACCCGCCGGGTAGATGCCGTGGTCGGCCGTCGCCGCCAACGGCCAGCATCGGCCGTCGACAGCGGGCCGCCGCGCCCTCTATAGAAGAAGTAGGCGCTGGACCCAGTTGCGCGGGTGCCTTGACACCACGGCGAAGCTGACGGAAATGGCAATGTGCATCACGAGCGAGCCGGCTCGCCCACCGTCCGAGCAGCAGGCACAGCAGTTACAGTAAGGTTGGACCGTCCGGTCGCCGTCGGGGAGGCGTTGCTGGCGTCTGTGTTAGGCGACAGTAGCAGGGCCTTCGCGGTCCCGGATGCAGGGGTATGGTGGCAGCCTGGCGAGTGGATGCCGCAGCTGAAGCTTTCGATTCGATGATGACGGAGGTGTAGAACTGCGAGGGCGGGCGGCAGCCGTGGAGCTGATTACCATCTTGACTGCCTCGCAAGGAAGTTCAACAAGATCGGCATAAGGGGAGGGTCGCTGGCCTGATAATGGTCTAGGTGGAGTGTGGCAGCTGGCTGCCGAGTGTTTGGGAGACAATTCCGAGGCCGGAGCTTGACCGGGCGCAATGTCGCTGACCGCGCCGCCGCAGTTCCAGCAGAGAACTCTAGCCTCGAGTAGCCCCATTGTACGGCCACTGTCGGTACCGGTTCGGCGTTGACATTAGGGTAGTTTGGGCTCGCTGACTAGGGATTTCGAGATCAAAATTAGCAGCCAGAATGTGTTGTCGCCGCCAGGGGTACGCACTTGTGTGTGGGCGCAGATGGATTTCGTCTGCCTAGGCCCTTGTGTCGCCGGCGGTGTTCTCGAGAATCGCCGTTTCGACACTGTATTGTCTGTGATTCTGGACGCGCTCAGCAGCCACAGCCTCAAGGTCCTTAGGGCCAAAGTGAGAGATCCTCATAGATTCACTCGTTGGTGAGAGGATGTGTACGCAGATAGATCCAATCGACTGTTTCGCGGTCCCAGCTGACCAGACGTTGGAACTTTAGACGGAGCCAACCAAGAGGCATAGCGCGGAATTTGAGAGCCAAGTGTTTCGAGACCCAAGAAGCGAGCTCGGACACCGGGAGCGAGTCTTGCCCTCGAGCTAGTAATCTTCACCAGGCGCTGGGCCTCTCCCGTCGCGGGGACCGACCCAACGGTTGGGGTGAGTTGAGTCGAGATGTCTCCCACTCAGCCGAAGACGGCACGGGAGGACAGACGATGCTGACTTCAATCCCACGCGTTCACCGTCCCGACATCAGCCCCGCCATGCAAGCGGCGACCGCCCTCTCCACACCGGCCGCCGCCGCTCGCCCAGCTGCGTCTCCCACATCCACCTCGCCTCCAAGAGTCCAACAAGCGCCGTCGCCGCCATCACCCTTCCGCGTCTCGTCGGCCTCGGGCATACTCCAGCTGGAGGGTAAGTGTGTCCCAGTCCAGATTGGCTCTACAGCGGAAGAAAGTGTTGGCCAACCAGCAGATCGTAAGAGCTAACTCCAAGTAGCTTGTAGATGTAAGCCAGAAATCTAGAAAGGAGACCCGCCAGTTGCTGCGAGACGACAGACATGACATTGGTGGCATTGCTGGTTGTTTCCAGACTTGGGTTAGGCATAAGGACTGGCCAGGTGTAGTCTCGAATGAGATCTTCAGGTTTCGAATGCTTCGGCAACAGCAGCTTCACGTCAAGAGGCCTCTGGATCAAGGTATTACTGGCCCATTCGAAAGGCTTCGGGGGGCAGGTATGGTCGGGTATCATCCGTCGAACGTGTCGACATTTCATTTAAAAAAAAAATACCTCTGGGGTAGGCTTTCCCACAGAGTCTTCCTTCTACACTAGATACATCTCTCGGCCCTCTGTTCACATCTATTATCTCTGATGTAGTCTGATGTCTGCCTGAATGCTGCTGCCTATAGGTTGAGGCAAACATGCGGCTTGGTGCACTTGGGCTTGAAGTGTCTCATCTCTTGGCAGTCGCTGCATTTGATCTCGGGGACTAGGCGGGCATGAAAGTTAGTTTGTGCTCTGGCGATAATAACAAGCAACACCGAGCAGAGACTGGAACTTACTACGTGGAGGGTTGTGATGTTAAAAGTCGGTACTCTCTTGGTAGACGTCGCAAGTGATCGCGGTATGTCCCGTCGATGTAGATGGCTGAAAAGTCGCGTCCGTCGAAGATGTGGGTGGGAGGATGAGAGGAGATTGCGCTCGGGGCTGCTCGACATGGTGACGGGCTTGTCATCCGGCGACTGGTCTTGACGAGATGTTGACGAAGGAGGAGCTGGCCGAGAGAGTCGCGTCGGCGGTGGTGGTGGTATATCTTGCTCGTTTTAGGACGAGCTCTCCTCTGGTTCTTGATTGACGAGCGACGAGATGAACTCGTCGACCTCGTCCTCGGGCTGCTGGCCGAGCGGCGGGGGTAGGGGGATGGCGAAGCCGACGATGGGCTCGCCCGTGGCCGTCGAGGGCATAGAGAAGCCCCTCCGGCCATTCTGGCTCTCCCAGGCGTCCCGAGCCAGGCGCTGCTCCTCGGCATACGCCCTGCCGATGACGGGCGGGGGCAGGAAGCGCCAGTCGTCCCTGGGCTCGCGCTGGGGCTTGGGCTCAGGCTTGGGCCTGGCGGCAGCAGCAGCAGCAGCAGCAGCGCCACCCGCCGCCGCCGCCGCCGCACCAGACCCAGCCGCTTGAGCCGGCTTCTCGCCGGCAGCCCGCCTCTGGCGGCGCCTTCTCGCTCTCCTCCTCTCCTCCATGGCCGCGTCCCCCCAGAGGACGTCGTGCTCGTCGACCCACTCGTTGCCGGACGACTCCGACCCCGGCGACCGGGCCCTAATATAGGGCCGGCCGCCGAGGCCGTCGTCGAGGACGACGAGCTTCTGCAGCGGCTCGACGGCGGCGAGGCCGTCCTCGAGGACGACGTTGTCCTCCACCAGCGGGTCGACGTCGTCGAGACGCGGGAGGGGCTTCCTCGCCGCCTCCTCCAACATCTCGACGTTCGCGACGTCCTCTGGGGTCACGATCAGCGCCCGCGGGTTCTTGCTGGGATCCTGGCTGGGATCCATGGTTGGCTATGGGCAAGGATCGTTGTGTTGTGTAGGTGGGCGGTGCTGGCGGTAGCCGAAAGAGGAAGTGGGTAAAATTTATACCAGTACCAGAGGCAGGTGCACCTCTGTGCCCAGGGTGACAGCAATCTGATATTGGGCTTTGCAATAAGAATGCTGCACAAGGGAGAGCGAATAAAACTTTTGTGGGACTCCAGGCCAGGGAAAGGAGGGCATGGACAGCCCCAGGCTTCTATACACTGAACAAAGCCGGCCAGGCCCCTCCTGCAGGACTTGATCTTCCTCCTTAGTCGTGCTCAAGCGCTTTAAACACCGTTACGGGGCGACATATGGGCAGATAACAGCCTTGATTTCTTTAAAAATCTAAAAGGCTAAACGTTGGAAACCTTGTAGCGTCTAGTTACAAAGAAGGCACCCAAATATATCCCAAGGAAGCAAACTGGACATATATTTCAGGAGGCCGCTGGACAAGTTTGCATGGCAGGGAACGACACGCCAAAAGCAGTAGATAGAATATTTCCTAAGCCCAACGGCTGGCATTGATGACCTCCACACACAAAGAGGTAATGGTTGCTTACGAAGAGACGATAGGCGGCCATAAAGAGATAGTCGGTGGTCCCCCACACCATACAATCCACAGCGCCTGCAAAGCCAAGGGCGGCGATAATGCCGGGAAACAGTTGGCGAGCCAAGTCTCTGTCGAGGCACTGGTGGTGATTGTGGTAGAACTGGGCTTGCACAGCGGTTCCTGAGTGTGTTCATGCGGTTGGGTGTTTCATGGAGTGCGACAGACAAGACTGTTTGTCCCTTGTTGTTATGCGTCACACAATGCGGAAGGTTTGAAAAAGAAGTTGGGATCTCCAGAGCCAGCTGTTTATATTGAACTATGGAGGGCATTATATATATCTGAATGATTGGATTCCACGCCCTGGCCGTATATCTTTGTCCGTGGCCTATGTCCTCGTCGTGCCGTGTGATATGTTGTCTTGGGATGGACATTGGACATGCACGCATGCGACAACAAAGAGTGAGGCCATCTCCAACTGACGCTAGAAACGTTGCCGTGTCAACGAGGCCCTGATTCTCGCAGACGAACCGTAGGCGACGGAAGTGCTGATGCATTAAGATGGAAAAGTGACGTATGCTCGGGTCATTGGGGAGTGCAAGGAATCATCATGAGGAGGATGTTTCTGATTTTTTTGACTGGGCTAGGCTCTCAATTGTTGTTTTCTTTCTTTTCCCCTTCAGACACAAAGCAAACGAACCTATGCATGCCTGCGTTGACTCGTGGCTGACTCTCGGCGCTTGCATCTGCCCGTGCGTCGCGCCACAAGTTGTCATGTGGGCTGGGGAGCCGCAGACGTCAATGGCCAGGGAAGCCAGCGGGTGCATGGAGCAATATGGAGTGGATGAATCAAGAAGGCGCAGAAGAGGCTAGGCCCATGTGGCTGCCGTGTGTACGAGAAAGATTCAGCTGGTCTCCAGACGCCAACAGGCCTGCATGCATCCTGCATGCACCCGACGTTTGCTTTTTTTCCCTGTTTTCCTCAGCTGGCTTGGTCGCTGTGGCGTCCATCTTTCAGCTGGGACGGACCCCGGCTCGCCAACGTGGTTGGCCCGATTGAGCCATGTCGATGCGCCGCTGGTGCTGCGCTGCAGGGATCCGGCGGTTTGGCGCGGGGCGCGAAGGGGGGGAGGGGTGGGCCTGGACCGGCTTTCGTGGGGAGCCTCAGCTTGGCTGGTCCGGACGGGCGTTTTCCCGTTTTCCCTTGTTCGTCGGATGGCTTTCTTGCATTGTCTGCTGCACTGCTGTATAGGTCTGCCAAAACCTCTGCCCGCGCCGCTATTACCTGAAGGGACCCCGATCTTCGCACTGCTTTCCTGATGCTGCCTAGTGTCTCTGGCCGTTTGGTGCGCCCGTTTGTCAAGCAAGTCCCAACAGCCGGCCCCGAAACGAACGCCCCTGCCGATCTCCATCGATGACACGGCCGCAAGGATGGGACTACAGGCAGCCACACCAGATCTAGACACCACCGGCGGCGGCCAAACGGGAGAACATTCCTGGATCACCCCATATCGTGGCGTAGTCAGATGGCATCCAGGGTCGGCGCGGCTGGTTGGTCACCCACGAGGCCACCCACGATAAAGACCCGACCGATCCCCCCTCGGCGGAGAGCGGCAGACGCAGAGGATGACTGCCGTCAGCGCCCATGTGTCCGGTCCCTTATTGGATCGATCCTCTCTCTGTGGCCAGCCGCCACCACCCGCCACCCGCCACCTGGGGGACGCGTCCGGCACACGCAATACGCAGTCGTCCCAAAAAGGCAATTTCTGCACTCACACCACCTGGGTCGGTGAGGGTTAGGGTTCCCCGGGACAACCGCCGCACGTCTCCAGCCCAGGCTACCTTTTGATAAAATGACGCTCCTGCTCGACTCTGCCACATCTCACGCCCGATTTTTTGCTGGAGTACGCCACTACCACGTCGACTACCCATCAGTGTCAACAATGCGCCAACCAGCTCGCCATACAAACAGCACATCGAGAAGCCAGATGGAGAACAAGAGCCCGGCGCAGGCCCTCAGCAGCACGCGCGACTGCCCCAGTTGCAGCCCTTTAAAGATCTGGGTAAGCATTCTCCGATTTTGTCTCCCTTTCCAGCAGCTCCAATGCCCGCGGGGGATATTCATCGTAACCGGCATCTCTAACATCCTCCTATAGGAGCCAAACTTCCAACCCTCTCTAGGGCGGTGCCCGCGATGCCAGCGGGAGGCCGGTGAGGACTCACAATATACAACGGCCATGCCACATCATTTCATAAGACCCACGAGCACAGGGGCCGCGCACTGGAGCCAGCCACAGGGGGAAAATCTAGAGCATTATGGTTGGGGGGACAATCCCTCGTATCAAATCGAAGACCAGGAGAAGTCTTTGTCAGCTCCAAGAATGAATCTCGAAAAGGATGCTGCCAGTTTCGGCTCATCGCCGACCCGGCCGTCGTGTGCTGTAACCGGAAGCCCAGAAAATAGGCCTCCCTCGCGGCCCTCAGGTCAGAGCTCCCCGTGCAAGAGGACGCCTTTATCTGGCCATTTCGTCCTCCTCTGTTAATTATATTAAAGCCACATGCTAACTGCTCATCAATAGTCGAGTCCGATGACAGGGCTACGAGAGTCAGGAAGAGGAGGAGGATGTGGCTGGTTGGTCCTTGTGTGACCCCAGGAGGCAAAGTAGCCAACTCCACTGCACGCGTCACGGTGAGCGACCAAACTTTTACGAGTCCGGATAGGCATAGATAAGTGCTTTTGGATGCCTCGGGCTCATACACTTCAGTTTGGGCAAGCCAAATATCAAGCCAAATACAGTACGGTTATCTCAGCTCAGCTCAGTTGGATCAAAAGAAAAGAAGCACTCGTGTTATCCAATAATGATATATTGGCCCAGGGAGAGAGAGAGAGAGAGAGAGAGAGAGCCCTTCCTCACAAGCTCTTGACATTTGATCGGAACTTTTCGGACGGCCTTCATCGGCCTGTCCAAGTTTAGCAGGGTCAGTCCAGGACGAGTCCTACTTGGTCGAGATCAGGGCCAAGTTGGTCATTTTGGAGCAGCGTGGGGGCTTGGGAGGCTTGATGAAGCTAGTCTTGCCGAATAGCTAGCCTAAAAGTGTGTTTGAGGCAGCTGAAACTGCGCTTGAAGTTTCAAATCAATCTCGCATCTGCGTTTAGTGGAGACTCGGCTTAGGAAATACGACCTGAGGGGTTATTGTACATCTAGAGCTTGCTTTTTGAGGATGTACGAAAACAGCCTTTGCTCTCCTGGCATAACTAGCTCCCTCCCCCCAGCGGGCTTTTAATGATGTGTCGTGACTAGAGGAAGCACAAGGGCCTGTTCTCTTGGAGCCCGCGTCACAGTCGCGAGCGCCGGCGCTTGCTTCATGCATGCGGCTGGGCCACGTCTGACAGCGAGGCATCACACCTGTCACATAGCCAGGCACCATACAATGTTACACGGCATGACGGCATTTTCGTCTTGGCTCAGCTCTTGCGCCCAAAGCCGTCGGTGAGATCACTAATCTCTCAAAGACCTCACAGTAACAGCCTGGTGACCTGGGCAACAATAGCCGAGGGAGTTGGGTCAAAGGCTGACCGGGCGTGACGGACCTCGCTAAGCACCACCAGGTAATGTTTCTTTCTGCGGCTCGTAACGCCACGCCAATGGTATTGGCATGGTATCCGAGCACCTTCGGGTTAAACTGGGAGCAATGGCGCTTACCTCGTAAGGCCGCACCAATGACGCCGAGAGGACGAAGGAAGTGAGCATATAAAGAGCGCGGAATCCACGGCTGACCTGATCGTGCTACAGGAAGAAAGGAGGCCACACCTAGCACTCGTACTTGATCGCGTCGACACCAAGTCCGGTTCCTTGACACCTTGGTGGAAGAGCTTGTCACAATTGCGTGCTGCCCCCCCTCGACGAGAACATAAGATGCCGCATTGGCTGGTCTACCATCCCGCCGAGGCCTTTGCCAACCTCGAGGCGAAGCAGGCCATGGCCGCCGACATCACCACCTTTTACAGCGAGGTCATTGGGCTGCCGGCCTTTTACGTGGTGGTGCACTTCATCCTCGTGGCCGCGGCGTCCACCTTTGTGGGCGGCGCGACGCGGTGTACTGGCAATGCCACCGGCCCTATCGATCACCACCACCACCACCAGCAACAGCAACGACAGGCTGGTGGTAACTGCACGACGGCGCCGCCGTTTGTGCGTATCACCGTCGACCACATCGCGCGGCGCATCAACGGCACCGAGCCGGCCTCGTACCGGCGGTCGGCGGGCCGGATCGACGCCGTCATCCGGCCGCACCTGGCCGGCAGGGGCTACGACTACGAGTTCCACATCGACGAGACGGAGCGCCTGCTCTGGCGCGTCAACGGGCTCGAGGCGCCGGCGCCGGGGAGCGAGGGGGAGAGGATCTGGAAGGAGAAGGGTAGGCCCATGCCGCTTGGGGAGGATGTGGGCGGCGTGCGGTCGGTGAGGCGTCGGCGGTTTGTGGGGGAGGGGGGAGGAGGAATTTGAAGGGAGCAATAGCAGCAAGTATGATAGCCAAAGGCTGGGCGGGTTGAGGGATTACGCTGAACTGGGGCACTATGACAGACAGGTGATGAATGCAGAGGGTATCATGTTCTTGTCATGGCTATTCAAAACTGGATCGCGTTGAACATGCTGTGGTCCTGGACCGGTTAGTGGTGGCCGACTGGTGCTAGGCCTTGCAAGGGCGCATCTTCCATCGGCGCCGATGATGTGAATCCCGAGCTGCCGCAGTCTCTGTGCCCGCCCCGTCCGGCGTCCCGATGCCCTTGACAGTCGCAGCGCCCCAACCTCGCCGTCCATCGTCACCACTAGCGAACCCTTGGCCGTCGCCAGGATGGCCGACTTGGGGTCGAGGCGGTCCACACCCGGAGCCGCCGCGCCACCGCCAGGACTCTCGGCGAATAACGCCAGCCGCACCACCTCGCACGCGACGACGGCCAGGAGCAGCGCCGCTAGCGCGGCCGACGGTTACACGAAGGCGGGCTCGCCGAAGCGCACAGCCTCGACGACCAGGGTCGCCGCCGCGGCCGGCCGCGTGTCGCGCGTCAGCATGATCTGCGCGGCGCCGACGGCGCCCAGGAGGCTGTCGAGCACCACCTCGAGGGCCCCCTGCAGGCCCGTCAGGACGTCCTGCTCGCCGGCCTGGCGGCCGCCGCTGCTGCTGCCGTCACCTGTGTCCTCCTGCCTCCTCCGCCTGGCGACGTTGAGGGCGTTGAAGCGGAGGTTGTCGCCGATGACGGACGTGTATAGCGTGCTCAGGGTCTGGGACTTGTAGCTGACGGCGTGGAACGAATTGCTGACCAGGGCACGCGTCGGGTCCATGTCCAGCGGGGCGGCGGCGGCGGGCAGCGGCGAGACGCGGATGGTGCGGGCGGTCATGTCGGCGGCGACGGCAAAAGCCGTGGGCTCGGATGTGACGCTGCACTGCGTCTGGTTGAGCCAGGCGTAAGTCGCCGCCCGCGACGGTGCCGTACATGTAGCGGCCGTCGGCACTGCGGACGGCGGCCACGACCAGCGGCTAGTCCAGCTCGCCGCTGGCCCAGCCGACGCCGATGCCGAGCCCCGGCGGCTTGTTGGGCGGCTCCACGTACCGGGCCCTCCCGAACCCGACGGCGCTAGATCGGTTGTACTGGCACGTCACGCGGGCGAGGTAGCCCTTCTCGGTGTAGTTTAGGCCGGTGACCCTGCCGTTGCCGTTGCGGAGCCTAGGGGCGGAGAGCCTCGGGGAGGCGGCCACGCCGTACGACCGGCCGTGGTACGTGAAAGCCGGTGTTGTCCTGTTTTTGGTACTTTGGAGTAGAGTTGGCGTCTCACCAGGATGCGCGCTCCATAATGCTATATAGCGCTCCAGTCTTCACTGTAGCGCACGCAAACAAAAAGAACCCGTCAGCATCTGGTTTGAAAGGGAAGGGCTGGTTGCAGGGGCCTCGCAGGTCAAGGCATACTCTTCCAAGGGTGGAAGTTGAAGGTGCCCTCGCTCACCGTCAGAGAGCCGTTCTCGAACGAGAAGTCGCTTCCGCAGCAGTAGTTGGGTGCGCAGTGCATGGCCCAGCGCGCCGACGTGGAGCGGAAGTAGGCGGGGATCTCGATGGTGCCGTTGCGGACGACGGTAACGATCTTGGGAGTGATGGTGCCCGCCCACAGGGGCGCCAGCGCCTTGAGGAGAAGCCACCGCGCCAGAAGCTGCCCGATGCTGTGCTTGGAGAGGTCAAAGTCCATGGCGGCCCTGGCGACGGCGCTGCGGAACTTTAGCCTGTCGACCATGAGGCCTTGTTGGCGCTGGCCGCCGCCGAAAACGTCTCAGACACCCGAGTCGGTCGCGGCGACGCGGATGTTGGTCCGGATGTTGACGGACGTGCCCACGGCGTAGCCCTGCAGACCGCTCAGGGCGGCCGCGACCACCTGCACGACCACCTAGATGCTGACGCGCTGGACGGCGATCCACTGGACGGTCGCCTCTTGCGAAAAGCTCTGCTGGGTGAGCCATCCGCTCACAGCCCCAATGATGGCAGGAAACGGGGCTGCGAGCAGGGGGCAGAGGAGCTGCCTCCATGCCCGGGGAGGCGTTGAAGGAGGCTCGGTAGATGTCATGACGAGTGCTGATCGTGAGAGCCACATACAGGCACAGGATCGAGAGTAGACATGGAGAACAAGGCGAACCAAGCGGAGGGCATATGGGGGTCTCGCCAGATTTTATCTTGATATGTAATCCTCGGAGGTGAGGCTGCGCCGACAGCTCGCTCCCATCTTGACCCAGCGCCTACGTGGCGATGCGAGTTTTGCCGCTGAGGTGCCAAGGTAACTCTCGGGCTGCCTGGTCGCTGCAAGTCTTGGATAGGGGACCACTGTGACCGCAGAATCTTGGGCCGACTTCGTAGACGGTCAACCTGACCTGAATCTCGGCGGCTTGTCGTTGATCGCTTGGGCGCTTGTTCCCACCGCGCAGGATCTCGACGGGGTTGTGGCGTTTTCAGGATGAGGGCTGTGTCGAGCTATAATGCATCGGGCAGGGATGATGGCGTTGAGGAGAGGCGATTGGGTGGGTAGGCTGCCCCACATCGGCGGCTAAAAGCGAAAGGTGACTGGTTTGGTATCAGAAGAAAAAAAACAACTCCAACCAAAATGTCCCACGCGCGACAACATAATCACCCCGACGGCATTGTAAAAACAACAATGAGCAAACCAGCTCGCTTAGCTCAGTTGGTTAGAGCGTCGTACTAATAATGCGAAGGTCGCCAGTTCGACCCTGGTAGTGAGCAGCATTATGAGGTCTCAGCAATCCGGTTCAAGCTCCGGAAAAGTAACTTTTGCCGTTCCAAGGTATTTTTTTACCCCTTGAAACTAACCCTTTCCTTATTTTCTTTTTCTCTCATCCCTTTGCTTCACTTTTATAGTTCCTCTTTATTTAATGTTTTTTCTTTTTCCTATTTAACCAACGACCAAACATCCGAGTCCCGTGTGCGACACACAAAAACACTACCGGGTAACGGCAATTGGGGCCGTGGTTGGCGCCAAGTATCAACGTTACGTGCCCAGAGAATCATATCCACCTCCTGTAATAGCCCCGGAGAAGATGCGACCTGGGCCCGCTTCAAATGTTCCCGTGAATCGATCGGGAGGTCGCCATCACAGATCAACGCGGAATTCCTTTTGGTCATGCTCGCCAACCATTTATTGGTATTACTTGTTACTATTGCGTTAATGCAATACTTGGGCAAGCAGACGTGGAATGGTCCAGCTTTGCTTATGCGCCTATCTTGAAGCCGCCCGGCCAGAGCTTCTGGAACACGCGCTCGCTGTCGTACTTGCGCGACACGTCCAGGAGCTTCTGCTTGTTTGCGGCGCCGTAGCCCGTGTAGCCGTCCTGGAAGCCGGCGGGGTTCTGGCGCTCCGACGCCTCCTGCCAGACGGCGCCGATGGGCTGCTAGTCGATGCTGGTCAGAGCGCTCTTGTCGGCGCCGCCCACGGCGGCCTACAGGGCGGGGACGGCGTCGTTGTAGACCCTGTTGGTGATCTCGATGCCGCGGCGCTGCGACTCGTAGTCGTGGCCGACCGTGGTGCCGGCGATGAAGACGTCGTTGATCTTGTCCACCACCAGCTTGCCCGTCTCGACGGTGAAGTCGGCGACCGTCTTGAAGCCCATGGTGGTGCTCACGGCGGGCAGGGCGAGGAACTCCCTGAAGCACTCGGGCGCCGACTCGGTCGGCGAGTCGTAGAAGAGGATGGCCGAGTAGACGGTCACGCCGGGCGCGGCGGGCACGGCCATGGGCACCATGTGCGAGAGGGGGTCGATGGCCCCGGACGTGTAGTTGGCGATGGCGTCGAGGAAGGCCGGGCCGTGCGCGGCCGAGACGGTGTAGGTGCCGGCGTAGACCGTCGTGAACGGGAACGTGTTGACGGTGAACTTGGTCACGATGCCAAAGTTGGCGCTGCTACCCTTGAGGGCCCAGAAGAGGTCGGGGCTGGCGTCCTTGTTGACCTTGACGACGTCGCCGCTGGCGAGCACGACCTCGTACTCGACGACGTTGTCGGCGGCCCAGCCGACCTGGTTGCCGATGAAGCTGACGCCGCCGCCGAGGAGAAGGCCGGGCACGCCGACGGGGGACAGGCGGCCGCCGGGGGCGGTCAGGTTGTGCTGGGCCAGGTACTTGTAGACGGCGCCCCACTTGAGCGCCGGGCCGAGGTCGACGCGCTTGCCGTTGGGCGACAGCTCGAGGGTGGCGAGCCCCGGCATGACGATGAGCATGCCGCCGCCGTCGATGTTGTTGGCGCCGCGGATGCCCATGTGGCCGCCGCCGCGGACGGACTAGGGGGTGCGCGTCTCCGTGTTGGATAGGACGCCGGCCGAGACCTCGGCAGCGTCGCGCGGGCGGAAGACGCAGCCGGGGTTCATGAGCTGCGTGTTGGACCAGAAGGCCGCCGCCTCGGCCGCGTAGACGGCGTCGCGCGGGAAGAAGACGCTGTCGGGGAGGGCGGCCTTGAGGGCGGAGCAGCCCCGGGCCGGCCTGGCCTTGCAGTCGCGGCGGCGGCGGCGGCGGCGGGCCCGGTGAGGGACAGGCCGCCGGCCAGGACGGAGAGGACAGTGGCGCCGCGCATCCTTTCTTTGCCGGGTGGTCAGGGGTCAAGGTTGGAAGGCAACGACTGCGGGAAGGAAAGCGCCCGTTGTATTCTGGGCCGGGGTGGTCGCTGATCGCAAAGGAGTGAAAACGGTCGGGTGCGACGTGGTATGTACATAAGACTCGGGGCCAGGAACTACAGGTACGACGACTTGGCGTCTATATGTAACAGGCCAGGCCCGTGGAGCGGTATAGTCGCCCTCATTTCGCCACGGTTGACCAGAGTGGGACGAAGGCCACATGACGAAGAAGATGAAGGCCGGTGGGGCCCGTGATGGAAATCCCCGGCATTCTTTTCGGAGTCGGCCATTTCGGGACCAAAGCCAGCCGATATACTGGAGATGCAAAAAGAGTGGTGCGCGGCTTTTTCCTTTGTCCGCCGGATGAGATTGTTGGTTCTGGGGTTAATTTCCATCCCCCAAAAAAAAACACTAGCAGCCGACGCGCGTAGAACAAGGATCGGTTTCTAGCGCTGCTGCTTTTGGTCTTGAATTCAGCCTTCGGCTCATGAACATGTACGAAAGAAAGCAAGACGCCACAGTCCAGCCATCTTTCCCAGTTGGGCAGGTGGGCGTCACAATACACCCCCCGTCTCCTCACTCCCACCATGACAAAAGGGAGACACCATGCTTTGGTCAAATTAACGGGAATGAGTCGTGCTCGCCCTCAGCCTCAGCCATCGCGGAGATCGATGGCCTCGCCCTTGAGCTCTCTCCCGCGTGCGACGACGTTTTGAGGCAGCGTTCACCGGACAATCGTCGGCCAAATCTACTCCCAAAGACACCATACGAACTAACGCATCATCGGCGACTTGCCGGACTTGCACAATGCCGGTCGCCGGTCGACGATGCCTGCCTGCTGGCGCGTGTTGGGCGCACTGACTGGAAATCTGAGGCACGACATGGAAAACCCACAGTTCACCGGGCAGATAAAGCATGCCATCCATGGCTTGCAGTGCCCTTGCACCCACCGCGGCCTGCGAGCCAACAGTCTCTGGCAGGCATGTGCTGGTCATGGCACCCATGGCAGTCGGCCCCGTGCCCACAACCTTATGCACCCCTATGAGCACAGTTCAATGTCGTGCACACGTTAAATAACCTATACACCGATGCACAGTGTGTATAATTAACATTGTGAGGTATCCAAACTCCCGGCACCACTCTAGATAGCACAATTTAACGGTAACGGCTACCGGTGTTAAGTCTAAACGCCACATGGTCAGAGAAGCGGGTTGCAGAGAAGCCCCCTGGGAGCTCGCATGGAGGCGTCTCCTCACCATGAGGTTGGACCCAACACGCCCGGGAAGAGGCCGGTGGACAAGATCCTACACAGTAAACATCCTACACACTAAACACCCTACACAGTATACGAGCCACGGCTACATGCGGCTGCCCACCACTGCGCGCCCAAGACTAACGCCGCCTGGGGAATCCCTGTTGGCGGGCCTTGCTTCTTGGACGACGCCATAGCTTGACGTGACAAGAAACTAGCCCCGTTTTGCCATGCCAAGATCCTGTCGCCCGCCTGCATCCCCATGACGGTGCTCGTCTGAACCGCATCTCTCCCTGCTCCCTTGCCTCATGTCCCAAGAACCCGGCAGAGCGCTGCAGATGGCCGGGCTCCCCTGGCGTCCACGCTAGACATGCAGGAGACGGCTAGGTCCATGGATCCTGCGCGTCTAATTTTTTTTCGTAGCAGAGAATGACACTCTGATGAGACAGAGCTTTACTGACATTCTGCTCCTCTCAGCAGCCACCCAGCAGGACCCCGGTCACCCCTGGAAGCTTGCGCGGGCTCTAGCTCCGAGCCAATCAGCGTCGAGCACATCCCTCTCCGTCCGTGGAGAGGAGAGACCGCAGATGGGCCACGGCTCTTTGAAGCCCCCCTGCTAGGTTTTCAAGCCAACTACCGTTTCCCCCGCTTTCTTGATAGCCTACAGAACCAAAATGCCTCCAACTCCTCATAAAATGTATCCGGGGTCCATCCCTCAAGCAACTGCCGGCTCAAACCTCGATTGCCCCCATCCCCAAAGTTGAAACAAGGGGATAAGCTCTCTAAGAAACGGCGATAGGTGTGAGACCCACACCCATATAAGTCGACGAACTGGCACGGCAGCTTCGACCCGGGAAGCTACTGCGTTCCAAGCGAACTGTCGTGGTGTTCTGGTACCAGCGCGGCCGCCATTTCTTCATCGCCATGTCAGAGTTCAACGGACAGATCTTCGCGGCTCCTCCGCCCCCAGGAGTGACGCCGGATCCAAACCAGCCATGGTCGGTCACCATACTGCTGGTCGTATCTGCAGTCTTTTATCCTCTTGCCGTCGCCACCACCGTAATCCGGGTGTACACCAGAGGTTGGATGGTTGGAAAGCTATCAGTTGATGACTGTATGTGACCAGTCGCTCTTTCTTCCTTCTTGGCTTTTCTCCTCCCCGCCTGCTTCTGAAAACACGCAACGCTGACAAGCTCGTGAACCAAACAAACAGACGTCATGGTATTGGCCCTTGTATGCTCCACGGTGCTGCTTGGCGCGTCCATGAACAGTGAGCACAAGCAACTCGGCCCCCGTTTGTCCACGACGGACGTCCAGCTAGACTGACCATCTCCTCTACCGCGCCGGCAGTGCTCAACTGGGGCCTCGGAAAGGACCTGTGGAACGTCCTCCTGGCACCGGACCTCTACCCCCACTTCAGGTTCGCCAGCATCATCGCCGCCATCTTCTTCTGCCTGGCGACCGGGCTCGCCAAGAGCTCCATCCTGCTCTTCTACCTGCGCATCTTCCCCGTCCGGGCCATGCGCTGGACCGTCTTCGTGCTCATCTTCTTCACCATGGGCTACTCGGTCGCCGCCGCGCTCGTAAACGTCTTCAGCTGCGACCCCGTGCGCGCCTCGTGGACCCTCGAGCTCATCCCGACCGCCACCTGCATCAACCGCCCCGTCTTCTACTTGGCCCAGGCGGCCCTCGGCATCGCGACCGACATCACGACCGCCGTGGCGCCGCTGCCGCTGCTCAGGACGCTGCAGCTGCCCACGCGGCGCAAGATTGGAGTCATCATTATCCTGACACTGGGGGCATTGTGAGTTCCACAAGAGAAAAGAGATGGGAGTTGCGAGAGTCAGGTGCTTCTGTGGGATACCTAGGCAGCTAACAAGCTTTGTCTCTCCATAGCGTGTGCGTCGTGAGCATCATCCGCCTCAAATCGCTATACGTGCTCTTGACAGATGCCAACCTCACACGTAAGCCGTTCTTCTACACCAAAGAAAAAAAAACAGAACTATTCACCACTGCCCACCGAGGTCTGCGTAACAAAGGCGCTTCCTGACACTGACACGACAAAACCGAACAGGCAACACCGAGCCCGCGCTCATGTGGTGCATCCTCGAGCTCAACCTGTCCATCGTGGGCGGCAACATCCCGGCCCTCAAGCCCTTCATCAAGCGTGTCTTCCCGTCCCTGCTCGGGTCCTCGGCCGCCGCCGGCTCCGGGGGCGGCTACAGCCGCTCCGGCGGCAGCGGCAGACTCAAAACCTGGGGCGGCGGGGGCGGCGGGAAGAAGGCGCGCCCGGTCCCGGCCGCCGATTACGCCCACAGCGAGGAGTACATCATGCACGAGAGGCAAATTGGCAGCAGCAGTGGGAACTTCGACGCCGAGGGCGGTGCGAGGGACAATACTATCATCAAGACGGTCGAGTTTGAGCAGCGGGTGGTGATCGGCAGCGCCATCTAGAAAGGGAGGGTAATCGGAGTTGGGGGAATATGGGGGGTCCGGGGGGTTATAGTCTGAGGGAGGAGGCGATTCCATCGCAACGTGGGAACCTCCATTAATGATGATATGTGGTCATGTCGGCTCCGGCATCTCGTCGTCAGGGTTGGGTAGTGGAGGAGGGCGAGGCCGCCAAGGTGCTCTGGTGGTTGTGTATTGGATTGTGTAGATGGAAACAGGGGGGATTGGGAACAGGGGCACGAAACTAGTGATTCCTATGCAAGAACAGTCGGAGGGTCTGTACGGGATGCCGCCAGCCTTGTTGGAATCTGGGACATGAGCCTATTGTACTAGGGGATAGCATTGCTGAATATGTAGGTGGTAATCAAGACCTGCTCGGCGAGAACAACTTCGACTTCTGATGGTCGCGGCCCTCAGGTTTCCGGGAGAACGACGGGACGCAAGTGGAGGAGGATAGCCCAAAGCCGTCGTGACAAAAGTAAATTCCCAATTGCTCATATAGTCTTGGAAATTTCAGCATTTGAGTGCAATAGAGCCTGACCGAGAGTGAGAAGTTCTGGTGCAGTCTATCATAATCGTCCTTGAAGCTGATCAGCCCTGCGAGGGACTGCAGGGCGCCAGAACTTTTGCTGACCCCGTGTCAGCGCGGCCGGCCAAACAACGCCCCTCAGCGGGGGCCAGTAGCGAGCGGGAGTCTGGGCTTACGGAACCTGCCGCGACGCTGTTTAGTAATTATGTCCGGGGCTATCGGATGTCATTAGTCCACACCAGTGGGATGGTCCCCGAATGTCCGTGTAACTCCGGGCGGTGCTGTGCTGTTGTCTAGGTACCTACCTAATGCGTTGCCCTCGCTGGTGGTATATAAGTCACACCGATTCCAGTCTTTAAGGAAGCAAATAAAGGGGAATCAAGAAGGAGAACGAATAAGAATAGCAGAACATAGCCATCGAAACCATAACAGGCCAGAACCTCTCAACATGACGGGCAAGACGATCCTCATCACCGGGGCCAACCGAGGTGCGCACGATAACCCCCCGTCGAGGCCATCCCCCCACCCTCCTCCTCCTGATCCAAAGCCCGCACAAAGACTAACCCATGGGGATTCCCACCCGCGCCAGGAATCGGCCGCGGCCTGTTCGACCACTACGCCGCACAGCCGGGCAACACCGTCGTCGCCGCCGTGCGTGACCCGACCCGGTGCCGGGCCGAGCTGGAGGCGCAGTCGCCGCGGGGCGCCGGGACCCGCCTGCTCGTCGTGGGGCTCGACGCGACGTCGAGCGCCAGCCCCTCGCGGGCCGCCGACGAGCTGCGCGCCGCGGGCGTCGGGCGCCTCGACGTGGTGGTCGCCAACGCGGGCGTGGGAAAGGTCGCGCGCCTCGAGGACGCGAGCGTCGCCGACGTCGAGACCGTCGTGAAGGTTAACGGGGTCGCGCCGCTGTTCCTGTACCAGGCCATGCTGCCGCTGATGCGCGCCGCCGCCGCCGCCGCAAAGGACGCGGGCGAGGAGGGGGCGACGTTGCCCGTGTTTGCGCTCATTAGCTCGGGCGGCGGCAGCATCGCCGAGGCGGCGACGAGCGACGCGTTCGCGCTCGGCGTGTACGGCGGGTCCAAGGCGCTCGCCAATTTCTTGACCGTCAAGATGGGCGCCGAGAACGACTGGCTGATCACGCTCTGCATCGCGCCCGGGTGAGTTGTTCCGTTTCCAGCCCACTCCCTCTAGCTGTCGGCGCTGGTGTGGCAAATCCGGACGCGCGCCTCGGAAAATCGGACGGATATCCGGCGGTGAGTAGGTGTCAGCGGGAACCTGTCGGCTGACGGTGGGGGAATCCGACCCAGACTTGTCGCGACCGACATGGCCAAGTTGGCCGAGGACTCCGGTATCGATTTCAAAGTGGTTGGCAAAACGCCACAAGCCTGCGCCGAGAACACCGCCCACATTGTAAGTTTTCTCGGCACTTGTTAGCGAAGGATCGTCCATCGCCATAGTCGAGGTGATGGCGGCTGACACGCGCGTTCGGCGGTGATAACTAGATTAAGAACGCGACCAAGGAAGAGCATTCTGGCAAGTTTTTCAACGAGACGATCGACAAGTTCCACGCGTGGTAGAAAGGCGGACTTGGGTCTGGAAAAAAAGGAAAGATACAATGCGTTCTGGCGCGCTACCTATTATGCCTCTAGTGCTAGATATTCGGTCAACATCGATATCAAATCCTCCGCCCCTCGGTCTCCCCCAAGCATGCTCGAGGGGCCAAACACTCCAATGTCCAGGCCACCCTCGTGACCCAGGGCCGCTTCGATATCGATTGTGTCCTGTCGTCATGATAGCGTCAGTAATGGGTCCGGATTTATGATGTAGTAAAAAAGAAAAGAAAAATAAAGGGGTTCTCTCACGGGAAACGCTTCTCGGACCACGTTGTTCTCCAGAATAAGCTGACCGCATGGCTTCGTCCCGAAAGGCGCCGAGGCGGGCAGCGGCGGTTGCGTCTCGTCGGAGAAATGAAGCTGCCCCAGTCTAACGCCTTCTGTTGCACCAGCCCTTTCCGCAAACGGGCGGCCGAGAAAGTTGACAAAGCAGTCGACCCGGATGCCCGCCCACTCCTCGATCTCCCAGAGCCCGACCGACGTGTTGGCCGGGTCCGACATGATGCTCCCGAGGTCCTGCTGGATTGCCCGAGCCGCCGTGATCAGGTCGGCACCCGCGCCGCAGCGCACCCGCAGCGGCAGCAGGGCCAGGGTGGGATAGGACGCCAGGGGATCCTGCTCGCCCTCGTCTCTGCCGTCTTGGTCGTGCCATTGCCTGTTGGCGAGGTAGACGCCAAAGACCACGTCCGTGCGCTCGTCTCTCTGTAGCATCCTCCACACGGCCGCGAGGAAGGCGGACTGGATGCTGACGCCTTTGGAGGCGCACGCCTCGCGGAGCAGGGACGCGTCGCCGATTGCCTGTGGCGTGAACTTGGACACCCTGGTGCGGTCGATGTCCGGCCCCGAGGTCAGAGTCGGTGAAGGGGCCGCGAAAGGCGTCGATGCTGCCTCGCGCAGATAGTCGGTCCAGAAAGCCCTGCGTGCATCCATTGTCGGCCGCGAGACTTGCTGGGCAAGGCGAGATGCCCATTCGCCCGCGACATCGCTTTTAGGTACATGCTGGAGGAGCAGCAGCTTGCCCTCATTGCTGCGTGCCAGGAGCTCTTCGAAGCGCGTCATGATGGCAGGGAGGCTGAAGCCATCGTAGAGAGCGTGCAGAATCTTCAGCGACAGCGTCCAGTTGCGGCCTGTGCCAACGGAATCTTTGTTGGCGGCGAGATGCACGAGGGGTTGGATAGGATAATCAGGGCTGGTCTCCCCTCTGCTGCCACCGTCGGGTGCGCTCACGTCGCCATAGGTGCGCAGGCAGTAGGGAGCCGCCGGGTCCAGCACGACCTGGATGAATGGCGCATCTGGGACGCCAGTGGGGAGGAACACGGTCCTGAGCATCGGCGTTTGGTGAACCAGGCTCCGCCACGCAGCGGCCAATTCGTCCGCACTGAAGTCGTCGGCGACGCCCGAAAGTTGGTACCTGAACTCTGGGAAGAAAACCTCGCCACCAGACTTTTGCCAAGCCGATATCATGTGCACCTGCATCGCGCTGGCAGGCAGCACATTCTGGATGTCCTCGAGCCTCAGGCCTGCGTTTTGCACCAGGTCAAGGTGACTTATGCGATCGAGCATTGCCTGCGAGGCCGCCTCCTCATAGACCTTGGCGCCTTCTGGGGCGGCGGCGACAGGCTCGGGGTGTGTAGAAATTTGTGAGTAGGAGCTTTGGCTGGCGGCCCGGCCCGAGGCAATGGTGGCCATCTCTTCCAAGCTCTCGGCGCCGAGGAGCTCAGGGACCCGTAGCTCGACCCCCCTCTTGTGTAGCAACGAAGCCACCTTGATGGCACTGATAGAATCCAGCCCGAGATGGTACACGTTGTATGTTTTCTTGACCGAAGACGGGTCCGTGGCGCCACTGACCCGGGCGAGGACGTCTCTGATGGTCTCCTCTAGCGGCGTCCAGTGCTGATCCTCGACGAGCGTCGAGGTATCTGTCTGTGCCGAGAACTCGGTGGCCGACGACGAGCTGTTGCGGGTCCGGAGGTGGAAAGGCGGCAGCCCGCAGACGGAGACCTCGCTTGAAGCCGAGGCGCCGCCGGCCGCGGATGCGACAGTCGACGTGAAGATGGACGTGTCGTGCGACGAGCGGAGCAGGAACCTCAGCACGCTGTCGAGCTCGCCGAGGAGCTCGGCCGTTTCTCGCCTGGAAAGGAAGTAATCGTCGCAGGCAGTCCGCCACACGACCTTCTGGCTGCCCACTATCTCCATCTCGACGCAGACTGGGTACTCGACGCTCGAGGATCCGTCCACGGACCGCATGATCATGTCCTCGTTGTCGTCGGCCTCGTCGACGCGCCGTTTCTGCATGATGAACAGCGTGTTGAACAGCGCCTCGCCCGTGCCGCCGGCGCCGCCTAGGCGCTGCGCTTTCCTGAGCGGGAAGTGCTGGAACTGGTTGATGCCTGCCATGTTCTCCTGCACGTAGCGCAGGAGGGTGCCGACGGTGCCGTGAAGGACGGTGCGCACGGCGACCGTGTTCATAGTGGGGAACAGGAGAGCCTCGGCCGCTTCCGTCTCGCGCCCAGACAGGACGCTGCCAAATGTCACATCGAGCGATTGCGTGCGACGGCTCAGAACGGCTGCCCAGCAGACTTGCCCGGCCACCTGAGGACTGGCGGCTTGGCGCCGGCAAAAGGAAAGTAGATCTGCCGCGGCGACCGTGGACTCCCTTTCTAACCGATGCACCAGTATGGGTGACGACTGCAGCTGGTCTCTCTGTTTGACGCTTCCGACCTGGAGTTTCTGTGGCTGGATGCTGGTCGGGGTGGCTCCTGTCAGAGAGTCGACCCAAAAGTCGTTTGCTTCGGCGGTGGCTGAGAGCAGCATGTGGTCGAGATAGTCAACGTATGGCGGCCTCGGCTTGAATCGCCCGGCATAGGCGTCTCGGACGTCGCGATGCAGCAAATCCAAAGACCACCCGTCGTAGAGCGCATGGGCGATGGATAAGATGAGGAAATTCTGCTTTCCGACCTGGATCGGCGTGAGCTGCAGCAAGTTGGCCATGCCGGCCGAAGACTCAGCTCGCTGTCGTAGCTGCTCTATTTCGCCTTGGATTTCTGCCGTGGTGTGTAGCTCTCGCACTTCCCAGTGTAGTTTCATCTCCCGGAGCACGACCTGGCAAAAAGCAAAGTCGAGATCGGTATCATCGACCTGCACGAATACTGTGCGAAGTACCGGCGATCCGTCCATCACTGTCTGCCAGGCCTCATGGAGCCGACTCAATTCTACGCCCGGGGGAATCTCGAGCACGTCGTGGTTGTAGTACCGTCGGAAGCCCGAGTCCAGCGTGTCGGCCACCATGGCATCTTGGAGAGGCGTTGGTGGCAGCACTGCCTCCACCATGTCCGCGTCTAATGCTCCTGGGATATCCTGGATCCGAGAGCGAAGCGCTGCTGTTCTCGACGGGTGAGATTGTTCAGTTGAGTTGCTGGTCGGATTCCTCCCGTCTCCCCCTGCGGGTTGCCCCAGTATATCCACAAACGCCTTGATGGTTTGGCCCTTGACGAGCTGGCTATTCGTGAGGACAAGACCTTGCTTCTTGAGGCGCGCCGAGAGCTTGATAATATCAATACTATCCAATCCAAGTTCGAGGAGTCGAGTGGTGTCACTGATGTCGCCCGGAGCCACTCCGGCGAGAGAGGCCATCTCGGACCGGAGAATGAGCGCGGCGTCTGTCCAGATGAACGGGACGGCGTGCGCTGTGTGGCTGTCTGTGCTTTGCTTGGGCGGCGCATTGGATGGGCGCAGACCAGTGCCAACCACTCCTGGTCTGGGCCTCGCGCTCCATTGCCCTTCAACGCTCTGCTCCATCTGGAGCATGGCTTGGTGAAAGTCATCGAGCATGCTGGCAAGCGTGCCGTTGTCAGCAACACCAGCCTGCGCTACAAGCAGGAGCTCGAGGCGATTGCCGCGGGTCAATGTAGCCTCAAACGCGAGCGGATAGTCCGGCGTCAGGTCTTCTGGTGGCACTTCAGTCCAGAGCCCTCCAGTAATGGCAGCTGACGGAAGCGATTCCCTCTGACATGAAAACAGGGTGTCAAACAGAGGACGGCCGCCGGAGCACCACTTCTGTATGTCCCGCAGCGGCGTGTGCTGAAATGGCAGTGTTGAAGTGTTGAAGTTGTGGCAGTACTCCACCAGATCAGCCCAGGTTTGGCAGTTGGCAGCGTCGGGTAAGTGGAAGGGCAGGGTGTTGAAAAGGGGCCCGACGACGTGTTCTGCATTCTCGACATCGATGGCGCGTCCAAAAAGAACAACACCTATGGTCATAGACGACTGGATGCGTGCGCAGAGGACCGAGAGCCACAGTGCCTGGACCACGGCGGAATGCGTGACATTGAGTTGTTGCCGCGCCGGCTCCAGCACATGGAAATCAAGAGACAGGGAGGCGCTGGTAACCGACGTCGCAGGAGTAGGGCAGAGCTGAGGCAGCGGCACGAGTTCGGCGCCGAGGAGGTGGCTCTCCCAGAAGCTTTTCGTGTAACTAAAGTTGCGAAGCGGGCCGTGAATGAGGGCGTCGATAAATGTGGTTCGCGACTCGATGGGCTCAGTTCCCAGATAGAGCGCCGCTACCTTGGCAATGATCATGCCAAGGCTGTTGGCATCGTAGAGGCCGTGGAAGATATGGAGCTTTAGAAGCACTCGTTGCTGCGCCGGAAGTTTGACGAGGTGCAACTCCATCGGGACGATGACGTCCTTGCTGTTGAGTTGGATCCATCTGTTCTGAAGAGACTGCAAAACCCCCTGCCCGGTCTCATTTTGTTGTACCTCCTCAACATCAATCTCTGCCCACGGGAGGGCGACTTCTTTCAGTGCAACCTGAATGAAGCCTTCGGTGGAGGCGAGGAATCTAGTTCGCAAGATTGAAAACGAATCGACGATGGTCTGCCACGAGTCCTTCAGACGAAAAACGTCCACAGTCTCGTGCAGCTCAAACGTGAAGACGTTGAAGTAGGCCCCGGTGCTCTCCTCGTTTTTGGAGATGGAGATCATGCCGTGCTGGAGGGCCGAGCACGGGGCGATGTACTCGATCTGATCCGACGCGACTCCAAGAGCCCGGCAGGCCTGCGCGCGGTTTCTGTGCTGACACGCTTCCACCAGTTGCCTGGCCTCAAGAGCGGCGCCCGCGTCTCTAGAGACCGAGTCCGTTTGCAGCGCGTGCACCAAGTCTCCGATAACGGGATGCTTGAGAATCAGAGCCGGTGTCGCTTGGTCCAAACCGCCACGTTTAAGCGCCCTCGAGAAGCGGAGCACCGAGATCGAGTCGATGCCGAGCTCAAAGATACTAGTCTCAGCGGATGGGCTTTGGCTCCCGTCAAGGAGGTGCATGGCACGCAGAGCAGCCACCACTTTCTGTGCGACGCCTCCATCAAGGGCAGAGCTGGCACGAGGTCCCGCAGCAGAGGCGGCCATAAGATCCTCTGGGGTCAGCGAGTTGAAGAGCTCGCGGAGCTGCTTGACCTCTGCCTTGTTGTTTGACGACAGTGGTATGAACGGAAGCTGGACGATGTATGTGGGTACCATGTACCCGGGCAGTCTTGTGCGGCAGGCCGCTTGGACGTCCCGCGCCAGCGTTGATCCGCCGATTCCATCGTCAGCGGTGGTTACTGGTCGCAAAGTCTCTCCTCTACCGCTCCCAGCGGTGGCAAGGTTTTTGGATACGACAAATGTCACAAGCAGGTCCTTGTACTTCTTCTCGTCGCGGATAACAAGAGTGGCAACATCTTCGAGCTGGGGGACTCCTGCGCGGATCGAGTGGTTGATCTCTCCAATCTCGAGCCGCTGGCCTCGGAGCTTCACTTGGTCATCCGCCCGGCCCAAAAAGTCGAAGCAGCCGTCGTGCAGGATTCGCACAAGGTCACCGGTGCGGTACACCCTCTCCTCGCCAAACCCGGCCAAGCTTGGGAAGCGCTCCCGGGTTAGGTCGTCGCGGTTGAGATACCCCTTGCCGACGAGCTTCCCAGAAACGCACAGCTCGCCAACCGCGCCTCTGAGCACGGGAATTTCCGTGCCAGGTTTGAATATGTATGACCCCACGTTTGAGAACTGCCTCCCGATGTTTGTCGAGCGGCCGGTTCGGGGAACGCGCTGATAGGTTGTGACTCCAATCGTGGCCTCGGTTGGTCCATACGCGTTGTAGATGACTCCCGCGTCGCCCCAGACGTCAAGAATCTCCTGCTTGAGCTGCTCGCCGCCCGTGATGAAGACGCCCCTACATAGAGACGGCACCTCATCGGGGTGCACCAGCCTCGCTAGGCTAGGCGTTAGGTCGATATGTGTGATCTCGAGCCTCGAGATCATGGCGACGAGATCTTCAAGAATCAGGTCTCGAGGCGCAGCGACAAGAGTGATGCCAACGCCCCAGCTCCAGTACTGCTCTAGCACCGAAACATCGAAATGGAACGACGCGAATTGAAGCCATTTAGAGTCTTCATCCCAGTGGCCGGAGAAGAGCTCCTGGAAAGCAAGCATGGCCTGGACTGCATTCTCGTGGGTGATCTCGCAACCCTTGGGTGTTCCGGTAGTGCCAGAGGTATACAAGCAGTAACATCGATCGTTCGGAGAGAGCTGGATCTGCCGTTCATGGAGAGGATCTGGGGAAAGCGCATCAAGCACCTGCTCATCGACGGTAATGACAGGCACTGAAGCGACAAAGTCCAAGGCCGCGGAGCGATCGGTGTCCGTCAAGAGCGCAGTGGCTCCCGAGTCCTCGAGGATGAACTGCCTTCGAGCAGGCGGAGCTCCTGGGTCGAGAGCGACAAAGGCGCAGCCCGCTTTTAGGATCCCCAAGATGGAGAAGTATGCTTCAGGGCACTTGTCGAAGCAGACGGCAACAATCCCACCCGTCTGCGTGTGTGGCTCGAGTAAGTTCGCGATTCGATTGCCGTTCGCCTCGAGCTCCTCATACGACCATGTGCGTCGCATGGGTTCTCCATCGGGTTTGAAAGAAGAGACAAACTCCAGAGCCGCCCTTTCTGGAGACGACAGGGCCATCCGTTCCACAAACTGGTGCAGAAAGACGATCTCCGATGGGAGCTCGGGATTTGAGGCAGGGGTGGTTGAGAACAGGGATGGAGCCGAGGGCCACAGATCGTCTTCTTGTGCGTCGGGATGGAAGGCAAGGTGAGCGAGCGCCGAGTCGAATTGCTTCAAAAGCAGAGTGGCCTGGTCGCGTGGGATCACATCGTTGTAGAATGCGAGTTGGTGATGAAGCAGGTCCCCACATGGCTCGATTTCCAGGGATATCGGGTAATCAACCGCGGCAGTGTCATCGACGATCCTCCAAGATTGCTCACCAGACGGCGTTGCGCGATCTTCAAACTTCTGATAGACAAGAAGTGTGTCGAACAGACGTGTGTCAGGAAGCCCAAGCCAGCCCTGTATCTGAGCTAGGGGAACCTGCTGGTGTCGATGCAGCCTGGTGTTGTATGCCATCATCTGCTGTAGCAACTCTCTGTTGGACGCCCTGTTCTCGGAAATCACGGGGAGGGTGGTGATGCAGGGAAACGCGGCGCTTTGAGTAGCATCCGTGTTTCTCCCTGAGAGCACGACCCCGAAGACGACCGATGGTTCTCCCAGGTACGAGCACAGAATCCTCGACCAAGCTGCTTGGATAAGGGCTTGAACCGAGACGCCAGACAGCTTGGCTGCCCCCTCAATGCCGCTGAACGGGAAGCTTCCCACAGTCTTCTCGACGCAAATGGCCCGCTGCTCGACTCGCAAAGGAGTCATGACCGGGAACCTGTTGACCACCGCACGGGAAGAAAGGCTTTTCCAGAAATCTTGCGCCTCAGATTTGTTGTTCATGCTTTGTGCCATAATGTCGGATATAGTGGCTGCGATCCTTGAGTTGCGCGATGGGTGAACATCTGTGCCTCCGGACGCGGCCGCGAAGTCTTCAAGTATCGCGTTGAGGGAGTGGGCGTCGTAGAGCACATGATGAATGGCCAGATGGATCTGAATGATACCCTGATCGTCTTCAACTAGAGCAAGCCTCCAAGGAGGCCGGCCAAGCTCGTCGCGCACCCCCTTTCTCGCGTCGCTTCGCCATCTTTCCATATCGAAAGCACCAGTGTCACCGTCTGCCACCACATCAATCTGCGCCACGAGGATGGCGTCGACGTCTGACCGCCCAACCATGGCGAAGGAGGCATCTTTGTGGTCCACAGCAAAAAAACCGACACGAAGTATCTCGTGACTTGACACCACACGCTTCCAGGACTCCAAAATGCTACCCGGGGTAGCACCTGAGTTAGAAATGTCCAGGCGGAGGAAGTTGAAATAATTGTGCCCATTGGAGTTGATGAACTCGGTGAGCATTCCGTGCTGGAGCGGCGTGCAGGGGAAAATGGCAGCCGAAGCGTGGCGATAGGCAGGGTCGCGCGCCAGCTGCCCATGGCACTCCGCTTGAAAGGCATGCAGGTCGTACACGGGCAAGCCAGCAGCATCGTTGCTCGTTGCCGAGTCGACAAAGACCGCGAGCCGATGGCAGGTCGGGTGTTCCATAACATCCGTTGCGGAGACTTGGAATTGCCGCTTACGCAGTGCTGCGGCGATCTGGACAGCGCTGATACTGTCGAGTCCAAGCTGGTAGATGGTGGTATGCTTCCCAATTACAGCCTCTGCAGTGGATGATATTGTGGAGAGCACACCTCGGACAACACTCTCAGTTGAGGTCCACTCCTCGCTTTGTGGAGTCTGGTAGACTGGAGAAACACTCGCGGCTGCGGAGGTATCCTGCCGCAGCTCCAATGAATGCATCATGCGTGAGAGCTCGTTGGGAAGGCTGGCTCGAGCCAGGATTGGCGATGATGGATATGCAAGGGCTGTGCGAAATGCATGGGAAAAGAGCCCGAAAACAAAGAAGACCAGCGAAGCCGAAATTTGAGAGCTGTCGTGATGGAGCTTGACTTGGAGCAAGTTGCTCTGCGGATCCGGGATAAGCTCACAGACCAGAGGTACGTCCATGGTCCCGTCATCCCTGTTCAACACCCATATGTTGTTGTCGAGAGGTCTTGGCGGCCGCTGGAGAAGAAGCATGGTATCAAACAGCCGGGTGCTGCTGCCGGCGCCGGCATGCATGGATTGAAGTTGGCGGAGAGGAGTGAATTGGTAGCGCAATGCCTCGATGCCAGATTTCTGCAGCGATCTGGCCAGATCGACGTGGTGTCGGGCATTGGAAACGTCGGCGCGCACAGGAATTGTATTGAAGCACGGCGCGACAAGATTCTCGATGCCATCAATCGCGACAGATCGGCCACTAACGACGTTCCCAAAGCAGACATCTGCTTGTCCGAGTAGTATGCTCAGACAAACAGCCCACGAGGACTGGCACATCGCCAAGAGAGACACTCCCATATCTTTCAGTCGGCCGTTGATCTCGTCAAGCGGAACTCCGAGATCGAGATTTTCGGGCAGAGATTGATCATGGCGGACATGGGCGCCAGGGGACGGCAGAGATCGTGGCAGAAAGCCGTCAAGTTGATCTTTCCAGAAAGCGTCGGAGTCCTCAGGCAGGGCAAGCATCTCCCGCAGGAAGTGTTCGTAACGAGGGGGCGGCGGTAGCGGCTTCTGATCGCCTAGCTCCAGGAGCCATTCGGCCTCCTGAAGCAATCTTCCCACTGCGACGCCGTCGTAGAGAGCATGGTGGCATGTGAAGATAAAGTATTCGGCATCGTGACTGCGCGCAAGGGCAAAAGAGACCGGCGGCTCCATCGAATCGATAGCGGGCGCAAGAGTTAATTCGCAGGCTCGTAGGCACTCATCGAGGGCAGCCTGATCAGCTGACAAGTCAAACACCTGCCACTTTGGTGCCCAGTCTTTCAACGCAACCTGGATGATCGGGTGTGTTGCCATCTCAGTGGCGAGGAAGCAGGTGCGCAGGATGGCATGCCGGGACACCAATGCCTCCCAGCATTTTTGCATGCCCTTCCCGGGGACGGAAAGTTTGAAAACCATCTGGTTTAGGTACGACGAGTTGCTGCTGCCCGAGGACATGGCGAGCATGCCCGCTTGAAGAGGGGTGCAAGGTAGAATTGCCTCGACTCTCCGGTCGCCCAAGCGACCCTGGATCTCGGCGACGAAAGAATCTGTGAAGAAGGTGATATCGGCGTGATGAGAAGACGCGCTCTCGTCAGTGGGCGATACTGCTTCATGTGCCAGGTGGGCGAGGCGTGCAACACAGGCACTTTGTAGAACCTGTGAAATGGACAATTTCAGGCCCATTGAGGTCCTGAGTCGCCTAGCGACTGTGATGGCCGAGATCGAGTCCAGCCCAATGCTTGAAAGAGGTGACCATTTCCGAACATGGTGCGCATCAACACCAAGGGCGTCGGCGATGGTCTTGGCGAGTGTGGTCTCAAGCTCCGACCAGGATTCGCCATCGTCATGGCTATCGCCGGCGCCGGCGCTCGCCAGCTCCAATGTGGGTTGACTTAGGTTCTCAAATAGCTGCCGCAGCAGCCCCTTGTCAACCTTGCCAGATGGTGTCGTGGGGATTGAAGACACAGGGATCAGATAGCTTGGGACCATGTACGCGGCCAGGCTCGAGGCCAGCAAACGGAAAATGGTCTCGTTGACGGCGAGGAGCGGCGACGCGGCGTTGATAAAGATACGAGATTTCCGGTGCTGCGTGGCGCTGACATCCACAGAGCATGATGCGGCAGGGACGTAAAAAGTCGCAAGCTGGTCAACCTCGGAATCGCTGCGAGCTACAATCATGGTGAGGACCGAGGTGACCTTCCCGGACTCGCGCACAACAGAGTCAACCTCCTTGGTCTCGATCCGCTGTCCACGAAGCTTGATCTGGTCGTCCATCCGGCCTATGGTCACCAAGGAACCGTCGGGTAGCATTCGCCCAAGATCGCCGGTCCGGTACAAGCGGCCGTGGGATGGGTGCTCAATGAACTTCTGCGATGTGAGCTCGGGCATGCCGAGGTAGCCCTTCACGACTTGGTCTCCGCCGAAGCAAAGCTCGCCCATGCACCCATGGGGGACTAGCTCTGATGTCCCATCCTTGTAGAGGACGAAAGACGACGTGTTCTCGAAACCATGGCCTAGGTGTCGAATAGGGTCCCCAGGGCTCATCTTTTTGACGGTGCAGATGTTCGTGGTTTCCGAAGGGCCATAGCCCTGATAGAGCAACCCGGTCCATTTCTCCGCCACCTGCTCGGTCATCGGCTCTCCGGACGTGACGAGGAACTCGACGGTGGGAACATTTTGGGGATCGACGAGTGATGCGACAGTCGGCGTCATGCTGAGATGTGTGATTTGCAGGGCCCGGATGGCATGTTCGAGGTCTACGAAGAGCATATCATTCGTGGCCGAACAAAGGCACATGCCAGTCTTCCAAGCAAAGAATATCTCAAAGACAGAGACATCGAAAGCCTGAGAACAGCTTTGCAGCATCCTCGAGGCCCCACGGCTGCTGAGAGGGTATATCCTGGAGAGCACATCAAGGTTGCTAGCGATGTTGAGCTGCGTTACGCAGACGCCCTTGGGGGTTCCCGTGCTCCCTGATGTGTAGATTATGTTGGCCACCCTTGTCGAGTCAGGTGCAACGCCAAGGTTCTCAGATGACAAGGCCTCGAGGTTCGATTTCATGATGTTGATGACGTGGAGGTTGTTTCCCAGAGACTGCAAGCTCTGCGACGTGGCAGTGTCGGTCAAGCATATCTGGACTCCAGCTTGTCTGAGTATTGTGTCGATCCTCTGCGGAGGGGTGGAGGGCAGCAACGGGAGATATGCGCAGCCGGCCTTCAGGATGCCGAGGATACCAGCGTATAGATCGACCGACTTTTCCATGACAATCGCCACAGGCGCGCCCACCTCGACCCCAAACGACTGAATGAGGCGACCTATTGTGTTTGCAGTCATATTAAGATCGCTGTAGCTGAGAGTCCGCGTTTGCGCTTCGCCATCGGTCGGGATAGCGTCCGCAAAGCAGACGGCCGGCTTCTCGGGGAACCTTGCCGCCGTTCCCTCCACCAGACTTGCAAGGTCGGCGTTACCCTCGAGTGCCCTCGGGGGAGTGTTGTGTTGGGACAGGAGCGTGTCTGGGAAGGCATCACGAAGCGAAGTGACCTGGGCGTCGATGTTGTGGATGAGATGATTCAAAATGAAGCAAAACTGCTCTGCAAAGCCAGACACATAGTCGCTCGGTACGAAGCCCGTGTGGTAGGTGATGCGACAGGAGAATTGGTGCACCGACGGTTCAATCTCCACTAGGAGCTTGGATTCGAGGTAGTCCTGGTGGGCGACCTCTCTGACAAGACTCCTTTCCCCCTGGCGGCGACTCGCAAGTGACTCCTGATAGACAAAGAGCACGTCGTACAGTGATTGCGTCAGCGGAATGTCAGCCGATTTCTTGACCTCGCTTAGCGGAAGGATGCAATGTGGAATTAGTGCGCGGCTGGCGGATTGAAGGTATCCCACAAGCCCCTTCAGCGTTCGGACCTCCCCCAGCTTGGCTCGGAGGGGGACAGATGCTAGACACGGCCCCACGATGTCCTCAACCCCCATGATTGGGATCGTACGACCAGAGGTGACGGTGCCGATAACAATGTCGTCAGCGCCGAGAATAGCGCCCCAGAGCCAAACAAGACTGGCTTGGAACACCGCCTGTGGGCTGCACTCGATGTGCCTCGCCATCCCCTCCAGGTACCCCGGTTCGATGTCGATTGTGTAAGTTTGCGATAGAGTTGTACTACTCCCTTCGCTTGTGGCAGATACGAGCAGCGGGAAAGGTGACGGCTGGAACCCCAAAAGCTGCTGGGCCCAGAAAGCTCTCGCCTCGTCCGAGGCGTGAGCATATGCATCAGAAGCGTAGAACTGCGAGACAGCTCTGAACTGTGGGCGGGGAGCGGGCTCTTGGCCACGAAGCAGCACTTCGAGGTCAAGTAACATCATATCCATCGACCACCCATCGTAAAGCGCATGGTGGATAGCGATGAGCATGCGCAGACAGCCGTCCCGTCGAACGAGGCGGAGTTTGAGGGGTCTATGGATGTCGTGTCCGTCCAAGGGCATATTGTCTTGCGGGTTACGGTGTGGTACCGACGCGTCGTCCTCTGCCTGTTGCGGAAGAGGCAAGTTCCGCCACACCACTTGCACAAAGCGGCCGTTGAGGAGATGGACAAATCCTGCCCGCAGGATCTCGTTTCTCTGGCTGAGATGCTCAAAGGCTGCCAGTATCTGGTTTTCGTGGCAGTCCGTCGGAAACTCCAGTTCGATCCAGTTGCAGTACGCTTCTGGGTTTCTTGCTGTCTCGGCCAGCATTGATACTTGGAGAGGTGTGCATGGCAAAACGACCTCGATTTGTTCCTGGTCCGGCAGCAGGGACGGAGCCTGTTCTAGGACGTATTCCAACTCCAACTCGACGTTGATGTGTTCCAGTAGAACTTCCGACGAGGACTCTTGGTCTTTTCGAGCTCTGCGTATGCGGGAACAAAGATGAGAGATCGTGCGCGACTCGAGAACATCGATAGTGCTGATGGCGAGACCAGATTGCCGAAGTAAGGAGGCAAGCTGGATCGAGAGGAGGGAGTCTAAGCCCAGAGATGCGAGGTTGTCTAGGGGTGAAATGGCTTTGCCCAGCACCTTTTCTGCTGTGTTGCACAAGTCTGCCTCGAGAGGGTCGGTACAGGTTGGTCCTGGCGGTAGCATGGTTTTGGCGCTATCCCTGGACGACTGGTACTCGGATATCAATCGCTTCCGGTCGACTTTGCCGGAGGCGAGCCGAGGGAGGTTCCCGAATACAACCACGTCGTTTGGGTGCATGAAACGTGGCAGCCAACAAGAGCACGCCTCCATTACTTTGTCTTCTGCCCAGTGTCGATCCGTGTCCGGAGAGTCCATCTCACAGAAGACGACAAGCACTCTTCCCTCGACAACGCCGGCTACAGCGCCGTGACAGCCATCCACTCGAAGAACAACGGCCTCTATCTCGCCGAGCTCGATGCGCTGGCCCCTCAGCTTGACTTGGCCTTCCGAAATTCGCCCGAAACACTCGAGGATACCGTCGGGACGGAGGCGTGCCTTGTCGCCAGTCCGATACAAGCGGCCGTAGGATATGGTCTCGATGAATGCGGCGGCTGTCTGTTCTGGTCGATTTATATAGCCTTCGGCGAGTTGAAAACCACCGACAGCGAGCTCGCCCATTTCTCCAACGGGAAGAATGACAGGATCATGTGGCATAGCTTGGGGACTGGTATCGACTTGTGGGCTTTCGTCCGGAATTGACAGGACATAGGTGGAGACGGTAGCGAGCGGGACTCCGATGTTGTTGATTGTCGAGTTCGCATCGAATGCAGGCTGGAGGGTGCTGAGAGTGAAATGTCAGACTGCTGTTCAGCAGACCAAAAGGAGGATGATAACATACCAGTGTATTGCCGCTTCTGTAGGGCCGTACATAGCCCAGAGCATACTCTCTGCGCCGTGCTCGACTCCACCAAACTCTTCCACGACAGGGCCAGTGAGCATCTCTCCTATTGTCAACAGGAGTTTGAGGCTTGAGGCGCTGTCACGCTTCCGCAGGAGACTGCCAGCCACGGTCGGAGTTAGCTCGCAGCCGTCCACATCCATCACTCGCAGGACGGCTGGGAGGTCGTCGAGCATCAGGCGACGGTCGGCGCAGACGAGCGTTGCGCCCCGAAACAGGGGAAAGAAGATCTCGAAGACAGAAACATCGAATGTTGGAGCGGCGAACTGCAAGAACCTGCTGAAACTTGGGATGTGCTGGTCGTGGGCTAGCAGGCTCTGCGTTACGGCGTCGTGGGAGATACCGACACCTTTCGGGGTGCCTGTCGACCCCGATGTATACATTACATACGCGAGATCAGATGCTCGCGCGTCTCTCCGTGGCGTCGGCGTTGGGCATGCTTCGTCACCGGGGCCAGCCTCTTCTGGTGCGTCAACCGCGATGACAATCACATTGCTCTCCTCCGACGGAACCTTCTGCGATAATTCCGTTGTTGTCAAGACCAGCCTTGCTGAAATATCGCCCAGGATGAACTGAACCCGATCAGGGGGCGCGTCCAGGTTCAATGGGCAGAACGCCCCACCAGCCTTCAGCACGGCGAGGAGAGAGACATAGAGTTCAGGGCACTGCGGCACCAGCACCGGGATGATGAGATGGTTGGTCTCTGGCTGTAGATTATTCTCGCCAGAGATCTGACAGAGTGTACTCGAGATTCGGGACGCAAGCACTTCGGCCCGGCGATGTAGCTCGCCGTACGTAAGCGATGTTTTGTCCCATGAGGATGACAGGTAATGGATAGCCGTATCTTGCTGCCGAAGCTCCAGTTTAAGCAGGTGGTGAAGCAAGGCTGGGCCTGGAAGCCGGGTAGGCGTAGGGTTGAGGATGGACAAGGCTGTCTCCTCTCGGAGTCCTGCAGTGATTTCGGATGCCATTGGTCATCCAACCGGCGGCCGGTGAGGTCCTCGAAAAAGTGACAAGAAGCCAGTAGGTGATGAAATGCCCTTCAGGGACAGGAAACTAGGAAAAGAGTGTTCTGCCGGCGACGAATCAGTTTACCGACAGTGGCTCCAGGTCATGTCCAGACTAGTTAGGATAGGGAGCTTGGTGCGATATAGGTGTTCTCCTTCAACCGCAGACGGCAAAGGTTGAGTTTCCATAGAGCACAAGGCAGAGAAAGACACGACACTCATCTACAGCAATGTCGCCTAGGACAAGCCCACGACCAAGCTAAATGTGGTCGAGAATAACACCAAAGCCCAGACCAATAAGGCACCCGATAATGGATCTCGAATGGGCTCTCTGTGATTGGAGAGTGTGGCGCGTATCCAAGACAACACCAACGGGGTGCTGGACAAGGACTGTTAGCAAGGCGCCCAATCGGCGATCATGAATTACCAATCCAGGTGGGCATGGCAGCTCGCTTCCTCCTGTGTCAGGTACCACCGTAAGGGGGTGAGGCGGGTGTTGCAACAGGGCGACAACACCCATAGCCAGTCATACAGCCATCACTTGATGACCAATGTTCCCACACAGGCCGTCGGTGTTGCTACCCCCGGCAGCCAATATCACGGGGGAGACTATGGGCGCTGATTGGCGGGCCAGCCTCCGTCATGTGTGGTGTCATGGTAGGCGCTGCGAGCTGCATGCTTCATCAGCCGAAGCCATACATATTTTGGCGGCATAGAAGAACTGCCAGCCCGGTTCACCCCTAACCCAGGCAGCGCAGATTCAAGCAAGCCATCATGATCCAAGCCTGTGCACTTCACGACGCGCGGCGAAGGAAGGCTGCTGGTACCGAGCCCGTGTGTGCGTGGGTTGTGTAACATAGAGAAGAAGAAAAAAAGTGCGCCTGGGGTTCAGCACGGATCCAGTGTGCCAGTGGCAGTAGGTGTTGCCGAGTACAGGCAGGTGTGAGCCGGCGCGGGGTGCGTGGACACGAGATAGCTGGCCGGTATCTTGGCGACGGGGAGGAGTCGCTGAAACGCGCTTGCGTGATGCCACCCGACGCGTGGGGGTATGGGTGCGATACGTAAAGAAAAGGGTAAGCTGATAGAGGGAGGTGACAAAAGGAGGCTATGTAGGATAGCAATGCAAGAGACTTGGGCGGCCTCTTACGATCCCGCGTGGTTGTGGTTGCTTCGCAGCCAGAGGTCGAGCAAAAGGTGCACGTTGTGTGGAGGAGCGCGAATGTGAAGAAAATCCATATCAAGAAAGAGCACGGACCCGAGAAAAAAAAGCCCGGGTGTGGGGTTTTGGACGCACCTGCCAGTTGGACTTTCCCGAGGTGGGTTGCAGCAAGGAATCAACCGAGAACTTGGCAAGAGAAGATTGAGTACAAGACTTTTGATGCCGCCCGCGGAAACTACATCTGCGAGGTCCCGGAAAAGAAAAAGAAAAAAAAAGGTACTCTCGAGAGGAGAAGCACTCGCGCGGGATAAAAAGGCGCAAGACGCGCAGGGATCGAATGCAATGCGACAGCGGGGTACCTCGCCTGCGAGGCGGACGCGAGACGTCACAGGCGGCGCCCACAGGCAGCTGGCGTCAAAATCGCGCCACTGCTTGGTCACGGCCTCCACCCGAACACGTGCCGAATTACATGCTGCTCACCGGGCTCCAGCTTCAACGTTTGCACTAACCAGCTAGCAAAATCCATGTCACTTCAAGTCATCAGACACCAACCTTGACGCGAAATATGGGACTGTTCCTTCGAGTCCGCTCTCAAACTAACTTCATGTTGTTATGCTATGAGGTTGAGAAACTTCCACTGAATGCCAGTGATGTTACAATCGCGGGTGTCAAAAACAGCTACGGGTACACCATGCCCAGTTTCACACACCTAAACATTCTTTCGTGGCGCATCGCCAGGAGCCATTGACATCAGCATCGACCATTCTGCAACTAGCAGACGAGGCCCCCCTCGCCCCGCATAAGCAACAAATAAAACCTGATATTTTGGCATGCATGTGCGCAGGCCCGTTTCATTCTCTTTTTTTATTTCTTACATCCCCCATACGCCCGTCTCATAACACCAAGTGTTATTCTTCCCCTTCCCACCCAAGGCACTGCCGCCCCAGTCCCACCTGGGAATTACCCGTAGTTCAGTTGGCCGGCCCGAACATGGAGTTGATCAAGTCCCCTGACCTCGTGGACAAGATCGACAAGAGGGTATCACTCAGCTGCAGAAGATAAGTGCGTTAACAGCTTGGCCCCAGCCGCGACCAATGACGGCACACGTATTTGCAATGCGCGTGCAGACGGAGAAATAACAATGCCAGAGAAGAGAGGGGTGGGTATTGGTGATGGTGGTGACTTACCCCATGCGTACCCTCGCAACAGCCCTGCAGCCAGACCCCGGACCCTGCGGCGACGGATCCCGGGCTAAACTGAACGCGGTAATCTCGGCCAACCTCGAGCGACTTGGCGGGCGCGTGGCTCTCCTCGCTGCTGCTGCTCGTGGTCGGGACCCTGACCTCCCAGCTGTCCAGCACTGGCTTCGCACGCTTGGCCGGCCCGCTTGCCGCGGGCGCGTCCACCTTGTGCTCGGGCAGATAGGACCACAGGCTCTGCAGCATGTCCACGTGCGCGTCCCGTTTGTACCCCGTAGCCGCGATAACCAGGTCCGCCTCGAACTCCTCCACCTCATCCTGGTCCAGGCTGGCGTCAGACGACGCCGGTGCCACGTCATCGAGCTGCCCGCTCGCCTCCTCGGCCTCCAGCTCCGACGGCGGGGCTGCCTTGACGCGCAGGCGCAGCCTGTCCCCGGCCTTTGTTGGCGCGCAGGAGAGCACGCGGCGGCCGCCCAGGATCCGATGAGGCCACCGGCGCTCGTCGGTGCCGAGTTCCCGGCGCTGGTCGTACATGAGCTCGTACAGCTTCTCGATCAGCTCCAGGCGCACCACGCCGTAGTTGGTCGCCTTGGCCGAGCTGATCAGGTGGCGCCTGTCCGTGGTCGAGCGCGGGTACAGGCTGTCTACAAACTCGGGGTTGAAGATGGAGTTGACGCTACAAAGCGCGCGATCGTTAGCTTCCACGAGGTCTGCTAGCAGGGTGGATGCAAGCAAAGGAAGGTGGTAAACCTACAAGGGCGAATCGTCACTGGGCTTCAAAAACTCGGACCTCATGACCATCCATGTGCGCGAGTTGGGGTACAGCGTCTGGATGTTGCTAAAGATCTCGGCCGCGCTCTGGCCGGCGCCCACGACGGCGACGCGGTATGGGGCACTCGTGTTGGTCAGGATGCGCGGCACCAGGTGCGCGTACTGCGACGAATGCACCACCTTGGGGCTGGCCGCCGGCAGAACCCTCGGGATCGACGGCTGGCCGCCGATGGCGAGGATCACGTTCTTGGCCCGGTACCTGGCCTCGACGCCCGTGCCCGCGTCCCGCGAGACCACCTCAAAGGTCTTCAGGGGCCCCACGACGGCCTCCTCCTGCGGGTGGATCGAGACCACCTCGCTGCCGTAGCTGACGACGTCGTCAAAGTGTCCGGCGCACCAGCGCAGGTAGTCCTCGTACTCGTTGCGCGCGGGTAGGAAGGTGCTCAGGTTCGTGAACTCGACCAGGCGGCCGTGGCGGTGCAGGTAGTTAAGGAAGGTGAAGTTGGAGCGCGGGTCCCGCAGGCTGGCCATGTCCTTGATGAACGAGATCTGCATCTTGGCCCCGGGAAGGAGCATGCCCGCGTGCCAGGCGAAGCGCTGCTGCTTCTCGAGGAATAGCACCCGCGGCGCCGTCTCCAACCGCCCGGCCTCGAGCGCGTCGTGGATCGCAACGGCCACCGCGAGGCTCGCGGGGCCGAAGCCGACGCAGATCAGATCGTGCAGCTCGTCCGCTGGCGTGGGCAGCACAAACTGGCTCCTAGGGGCGGTGGTCTTGCTCCGGCGGCTGTAGTAGCCGTTGGCCAGCCCGTTGGTGTGCGGCTGCCTACCGTTGCTGCCGTTGAGACCGTTGAGGCCGTTGGTCGCCCCGTTGGAACCCGCTGCCCTCTGGGTAGCGACTGGCTCGCCTCCCTCAAAAATGTCGAGCGCATGTGGAGCCATCTTGGTGAAGGCTGTAGTTTGCTCCCTTTTTTATGCGGGCTTGATTTATCCTCTCAGTGGAGCTTGCCTGTCGTTAAGAGCGTACTGAATACCAGACGTATTGTTGATCTAGGGCAGTCCTTAGGGGTTGTAGCAATTGGCCACGAAAAGAGATGTGAGGTCTGTGGCGCAAAGGACGTTTCAAAGAACAGCCCAAGATATGAACAGTGCGATAGTTGGACCCGGTGTTGGGCAGATAGCAGGAAAAATAGCAAGGAGAACAAGCACCAATGAGCAAGGGGTATCAAGCAAGTGGATAGATGGTGTGGTGAGACACGAGGAACCCGAAGCGACAGAGGCATGGCGGTATGCGCCCTTTTTAGATCCGAGTCCTCGGCTTGATCTCAATATTTAGCATTTCACTCGTACCACCCCGTTCGATCTACATGGTGGGGTGGGAAGGGGCAGTCGTGGGGCCCAACGACCTCATCCCGGACTCCTGCCCAGCAGCCACGGCTTTCTGGGACAACAATGTCCCTCACGGTACCGAGGAATGCAGCCCCAGCAGGCGACTCGAGAGGCGCCGGGTGGAGGAGAACCCCGGCGACGTATCGAAAATCGTGCTCTGTCCCGGCCACGTGTGGGGTTGCGCGGGCGGACTCGGCGGGAGCTGCGGGCGGCCAGGGTCCCTTCTCTGGCCATGCAAGAAAAAAAGAAATGACACATCGTTCGATCCGTGACCCGTCTGCGCATGGAAAGAACCGGCTGGGAGGGTGAGGGTGTGGACGGCTAGCGAGGGGCCGCCCGGGCAAGCTCGGTTCCATGGACAGCACACAACCATTTCTCCCAGCCGGGCAAAGCCATGGCACCGGTGAGTGGGTACAGTGGAGAGCAACTGTGTGTTTACGGTCCAACTCGTGCTAGGAGTTCCCAGTCAGAATCAGGGTGAGAATTGGAGTGGACCTGGCAGGAGAAGACGATCAGCGCTGGCATGGCCAAATATTTTACCGTTTTTGCATTGGCAGCTGGAGAACGTGAACGCGGAAGGCGTATCATCCACGACCCCTTTTGCCGCATGCATTTTAAGTCGGCCATTGAGCATTCAGTCTCTCAACAGTGCTGTGAAAAATGCCGGGTTAAGGGCTTTGCCGTGCTGGGTCAATACCGATGGTGGGGGAGAGGGGTTGCATGGGCTCCCTGGCATGGAGATGGCGACATCGGCGTAATCTTCGGATCTGATAAGATCAAGAGCCCACCCACCCAGGGGGATTGCGGGTCGTTGACGCAGTCATACGACACCTGCCATGCATGGGTCTGTGACCAGACTGGGCTGCCTCTGCAGCCTCGTTGTCACCGATGAGGCAGGTCCGAGCCCGGCGCAGCGGGCGTCGCCTGAGAGATTCATTCCTCTGCAGATCCGCCCATGGCTCGGGTTTGCTTGAAGTGGGATAGCGGCGATGTAGGCGCAAATTTTTCCAGTCATCGTCCGGACTAGAATAGGACGTTCCATGCGTATCATACGATTCGGTCTGTGGAACATGCGGGAATCGCCAAATATGCAGAGCAGGCGGCAGACAAAGGACAACGGACGAACTACCAGCCAGGTCAAGTTGCTTTGAGCGAGCTTCTCAGCTGCCTGGGGCCTTTGGTTAGGAGCACGTGCGTTTGCTTTTCCTTGTAAGAAACTACCGGCCGCGCTCGCACGGTTGGCCACCCGCCTTTGTCCTTGCCTCTGCCGACGGTAAAATCCTTGGTCCAGGAGACGATCTGATAAAAAACCGGGCCTGGGGGGAGGGCTTGCGGCAGTCGGCGGAACCAGCACTTGCGGGATATAAGAACTTGGCGGCCTAAGTAGGACCAGCGCGTGTCTGGTCCCGCCATGGTGGGTGTCGTTGATGTCGCGTTGGCCTACGATTGGCCTTAGATGATCTGATAAGATCATGTTGAAAACTGTAATGATCCTGGGCTGCTTGGCACCTTCACTCCAGGGGCTCCCCCGGTGCGACTTTTTCCAGTCTCCTCTTCCCTGTTTACTGTGCCGAGGGGCTGGCGGATTTGTTTGTTTTTTGTTTCCATTGAGCGAGCTCCCTGCAGTTGACCGTTTTCTGCCTCGGATATAAATTCGGCATGTGAGAATGCCGCTGCCCAACGAAGAGCGATCTTGATCTTGGTGTCTTGAATCCAACATTTTATGCATCCATGTTTTCCTTGCCAAGGGGCCCATTTTCTCCTAGTAATGCTGAATTGTGCCTGTGCCCAGGCGGTGAACAGGGTTCACATTTTGACCCGTCGGATTAAAGCTGGAGGTGGCCCGGACGAGTAGCAATGTCTACCAACCGACTGAGCCTACTTGACTGCCCCAGACATTACTCGAAATCATTTTAGACGATACTACAACAAGCCTCCGGGGTTTCCAAAGTTATTAGAAACACGCCAATCCTCGGTGCGATCTCGAGTTCGTACAAGACGAACCTCACTTCTCGATCCCTTTTTTAAATCGAAAATTATTTTCAGGCATGGATGGCAGCAAACGTCTGGCTAGACTAGTCTCCAAAGCCGCCTCGAAATGAAGTTTTATTTGGCCAGCTCTCGTTGTTGTGGCATAATAATAGCCAATGACCCCCTCCATCTTCGGCACATTCGCTCCCTGACGTGCCTGACCGCGACGATTGTGATGTATGTTGCCTGTTTTAGAAGCAGAGAAGGCCTGGCGCCAGCCACTCAGGGCATCCATCACGGTGCCGCCCCCAACTTTGCTTCCCCAGCCTTAATGGCTCGCTGCACGTTGTCGGAGGCTGCTCGGCCCAGGATTCCAATCCGCTGTGCCCCGTTTTCACGACGCCACATGCGACACCAGCCTTTCCCCCTGCGCGAGCTCAATTCGATCCCAACTTCACGGGGCTGGGAGCATCCAGCAAGTCGCGAACCCACACTCTCCTCCTATTCGTGTCCAGTGCTTGGTTGGGCACACACGCGACACAGATCTGCACCTCCTTGGCAACCTCGAGCGACACGGCCTGGGCTTCGTCGAATTGGCTGCGCCCCCTTCTCTCCCGTTTCAAACGGGTTGCTGCAGCCGTCGCGCCAAATCGGCCAATCGACGCCTTTGACAGCGACAAGGAAACGTAGCACGCAGAGCTTACCGTGCCCGCTATTGCTCCAGGATGTGTTCAGCTTCTCCTCCCGCCCCCACCCTTCTGGTCATCTTGGGATGCACTGCAACACCATTCTGTAACACCAAGCACCCATGAGTTGCGGGGAGAGCATCGAAAAATTTCCTCTCCTACCGCTTCTAAATAGTCCCTCCCTCTAAAATCCCTCCGGCTTACTCCCCCGTACCGTTTTGTGTGTTACACTTCTGCTGGGCCTTCTTTTCAGCCTTGGGTGAGTACAGATTTTGAGCACAGCAGACCGCTAATGTAGATTTTGCAAATGCCGAGTCCTGCAGTGACACCCGCGGGAAGTTTTGCAAGCATCCAACGACATTGGTGGCCGTGGCCTCGGTGTATCGACTGGGTCAGCGGTGTCCATCCGCCATCGTGGGGCCTACACGAGGAATACGGCCCGTCCCCCAGTCCAGCTCCATGGAAACGCCCATTTCGAACCAGCGTGTGCTTCATGAAGGTTCTCCAAACCCACGATTTCACTGGACTCGGCGCTTTGAAGTTTTCTTTCCACCCTTGCTGTTATTCCCACGTAGCATAATAATATCAAGGTGGCGCGTCGAGACCAGGAGATCTAAAATTACTATTCCCGCCAATGATATGCGGTACACCCTGCTTCCTAGCCTTCATCTACCTGCCTGCGTCCTCCCGAACCGTTTTCGGCCCCCATGCTACCTCTATATTCCCCTCCCCCCTCGACGGCCGCTCATGGGCCGGACCTCTTGGCACCACTATGAGGTTCCACCTAGGCTAATATGTTCGTCCTGCTCCCCTGGCGTTAATATTTCCCCCCTTTCCCCTGTCGTCTTCTTTCCCGCCGACTCCAGGCCTCGCAAATAATACCAAGTTACTCGGGGCAACACTATATCCTGAAAAAAAAAGTCATGAGAAGTGACCTGTTCAGCTCTTGTACCAACAAGCTTCAAGGGCATCTCCTTACAACCCCTTGTACTCGCACACCTTCCAAGCTCCCTCCACTTTCCTCTTGCACACCTGGCTTCGGGCTGAATACCCGCTAGACGCCACATCTGCCCTTCGGCCTTTTAGCCTACAGCCCTACTTGGTGGAGAAGTCATGGGCATTCCTCACGACGAGAACCTCCCCGAGGTGGCGCCGGGGAATGACCCCCAGACCATGCCGGATAGCTCCCCGCAAGCCCTCACGGCACAGGAGGCGCACGCCCACCAGCAGTTCTTTGAAGGCGGCGCTAAATTCCCAGACGCCAGTCTCGATAGCGCAAAGTTCACGACTGCGCCGCCCGACGGGTTCGAGTCCGGGTTTTACCATGAAAACTCCCGATCCCAAGACCAGCAGAGCAGCCCCCCGTGGAACTCTCCGGCGCCTTCCAGCGCTGTCACGGGGCTCCGGGCTGGCTCGGTGCCCATCGGGAGCAGCCAGTTCGGCTCCGAGGAAGAGAAGGGAGCCAGCGAACGAGGCGAGCGTATCTGCGGCTTGAAGAAGCGCATCTTCTATATGGCGCTGGCCGCGTGCATCATCATCGTCTCCATCGTGGTCGGTGTCGGCGTCGGCGTCGGCGTCAGCTTGGGCTCCCAGCAGGCCAAGGCGTCAGGCCAGCCGAGCGCGCCAGATGGTGGCTCTAGCGACAGGTAAGCCGTGAATAGCACGGATAGACGTTTTCGACTCCCGGATGCCTCATAAGCTAAATCTTATTGTCCTCTGATAGCTCCCCAGCCGGTACTTCCTCGCCGCCGCCACCGCTGGCGCAGCCCACAAACAAGGTTCCGCCGACCAAGCTCAACGAAACCCGGCTCAATGGCCCGTTCAAATTCCAGGGCTGGTCCGGCAAAAACTTCACCGGAGAGAGCACCGAGGTGGTTAGGGGTGTCGGTATCACGCAGTTCGCCTTTGACATCCGCAGCTACGTTTGGGACCCAGACGGCTTCACATGCTGCGTCAGCTTCTGCAACGAGACCGTGTCGGAGCACGGCTACTACCGGTGCCAAGTACTTTCCCAGCCCCAGCCCGTGGGTCCCTTCAATAGGATTGTCACGCTGTGCGGCGGTCTCGAGGTCACGAATCAGGCAGCGTCTTGTTCTTGAGGCCATGGGTGCAACACAGCCCTTCTCTGAGCAGAGCAACCAACCCAAAACCTGTCGTTTTTCCCGGTCCCTTGAGGTTTCTCCCATACTTTTGCCCAAATCCGCCAACTTTCCCCGTTACATTGGATGGTATTGTAGTGCCTGTTTCCCGATAACGATGGCTGGGTAGCGCCATTTCAATTTGTCTTGTTTAACCTTGGTCCTAACTGCTCCTCATTTTCACCCAACCACCAGCAATGACAGTTATCACTGTTTCACGTCTGCGTGGCACTGCGCTGGCTAGAATCTCCTCCGAACGCGCCATGCTTATCTAGATAGTACAGTAACATGCGACAAGGGTACAGTATCCGGCGGAGCGCCGGATTTGAGGGGCTGCGGAGGATCCCTCTGTCGGCCGACGGTGATCGAGTGGCTAGCGAGAGTGCCCACACAAGCACATGAGTCATGCAGCGGGCTCCCCTGTCTTGTAGCGCATTTGCGTGTTCGTGTTGGCTGAGATGTGCACGCCAGAGCCGGGATCCTATCCAGAAGTCGGGAAACGCACCCGGCCTCAGCTTTTATGGCGCTAGGAGCACCCAAAGACCTTCTAGCTTGTCGGGCTATTAAAGCTCTTAATCCCCCTTTATTTTCGATACCTTTATGGGCCTTACCGAAGCATCATCGCGTTCAACTACCATTCCACCAGCGCTGTACAAAAAGATACCCATACCTGCAATGCACATCGGTTTTCTGCCCCGATTCACCAATGACTCCAACAAGTCCATGAGCAGTCACCGAGATCTCGGTGAACGAGCATGGATGCGCCAAGTTTCACTGCTCCGCTGCTACCCACGCCCACTGTGGCGGGAATACATGATCGATGGCCCCAGGGAAGGGTGGCAGAGATGACGGACGTGATGTAGCAAGCACACCGACCTGCACCACCAACTCTAATCTATGGAGACTTGGCGGCGATGCATTCAGACCGCAAATCGGGAGAGAAGAGCGGTTGCCGATCTTGACACTGAAAGGGGTCTTCTTGACAGCCGTGAGCCCAGGCCTCCAAAGCGTCGTCTCTCTGATCCTACCCCAGCCCAATACCCTTACCGATCAGCACTGGGTGTCGAAAAAAAAAAAAGCCCGGCAAGCAACGCCAAAAGCTTTGTGGTCCCGTCCAGTCATAACGAATCTCCTCGTATCTCCGCTTCTCCGCCGACAGGACATCGGTGCCTATATTCCAGAAGGTGTGGAAGGATGAGCAACATTGAGCCAAGAAACCGGCCACGCCGACGCAACATCTCGGGTTCCGACCACTCAGAGGCATTCGTCGTTGTGACCTGCTCCTTGTTTCCCCATCGCAAGCAGCCCCAGATTCCTCGATGCCTCCGTCTCCCATGGGCGGCGCTACCTGCCCTCGCACATAGATCGGCGCCAAGATATCTTATATCGGCGACTGTACCCGGCATAAGCAGCAAGGTTCCGGTTGGCTCGCACGGTGCCCGGGAAAAAGTCTGGACCGCAATTTATTCCCACCACCACAAAAAAAAAAAAAAAAAAAAAAGAGCCCATCCGGAAGACTTCGGCACTCCGGCAAAGCGAAAAACGTTATTATGGCTATAAGTAATGCCTTTTACATCAAGATAATCACAAATCCCTTAAACGCGTTTTTTATTTTATTTTTTTTAGGTGTAGAGTGCGGCGCGGGCATATTGTTTGGCTTTGGTGCTGGTACAATTGTGGTGGGAAAGGTAGAGTTTGGGTGGGGGAAAAAATTTGCGGTCCAAACTTTTTTCCGGGCACCGTGGCTCGGTCCCGGCTGGAACGTCACAGCCAAAAGAGCCACCGGTGTTGGTGCTTGATTTTCTAGTGCCGAGGGGAGCGCCCCACCAGCCTCCAACAAAAAACCGCACAAAACAAAATCAAATCAATTGATTGCAATGCCTCGTCACCACAACACGCGCCTCAGATCCTCTCAAAATGTTTAGAGGGCGTAGGGAAAATAACTGCCCATTAGATAGCATATATATATATAAAAAAAATAGGCGCTGGCTATTATTTGTTGTGAGTAAATTGGCTTCAAAGTGTGCCCCTTTTATTTACGTGTGCGGATTTTTTTTGGAGGTTGGTGCGCCCCAAATGCATCAGCAGTGCACGACTCTGCGAGTCCCCCGAATCTCTTCTCGAATCTGCGCGAGGAGCTTGATGAGACCGCATCTTTCCCTCCAGGGAGAAAGGCACACGAGGGCGGAACAGGATACCTCGGTCGACACCCCTTTTTCGGTCCTATGGATAGGGGCGGCTGGCGCGCGTTCCTTGCCAAACGCAAAACCTTGCCAGATACTACCCACCCTCCCTCCATGCTGCGCTGGCGCGGCACGTTTGGTTACCAGATCCTTGGGAAGGACTGTCGCGAGAGAGGGGTTCGGGCGGCTAGATCCACAGGCAAGGGTCAAGGTTCGACGTCGCCGTTTTGGGGTGGGAGCGAAAACGGTAAGGTGGGGGAGCTGAAAAACAAGTCTTGGAGCCGGTCGAGCAGGTCGAGATCTGGAGAAATGGCTCCAGGACAGAGAGCAGGATTGACCATCTGCCACAGTGGAAGTTATTATACGCATGCAACATCGCTGCACGTATGGCGATTGGCGGTTTTTCTTTATATTTAGATTTTCCTGCTTTTGTTGGTGTATTCTTTCCTCAATCCTGCTTCATGCGATCACACGCTGTTGCGACACTGTTGCGATCTCGGGTTACGGTTTCATGGCCGGGATGGTGGGGTTCCCACCCAACTGCTGGGTCGGCGTCCTGCTCCTGTGTGTGCCCAGGCGCGTGCTCATGAAAATTGAGAACGGATGGGGGAAAACACCAGGCGTGGCTGGCCGGCGTGCACATGAGGGTTGGAGCTGGTATTTATCGCCCAGTAGAATCGCCAGTATCATTAGCTGGTGTCACGCGAGCTTCTATGTAGATCCTGCCTGCTACGATAATCACTGGGATAGAGGGCCAAGTTGTAGCCGTCCGGACATCCGACCAGACCAAGTCCGGGAAGGCGACCTCATGGAGACGATCCCCGTAGTGTATCGCAAGGCGGCGATTTTCTGTCTCTCCTCGACAAATCGATGGTTCCATTTTCCGAGAATCAATTGTCATAAACAATCCAAAACATATCTCAAATATGGCGTCTGCTCCACTGCCCGAAGTACCTGACGCCGGCCTGGTCAAGCGATCGGTCGTGTCATGCTTCATCTTTAAATTCGGTGACTACGGGCGTGCCGAGGTCGCGCTCTTCCAACGCAGCGACAAAGTCCGCACCTACCAGTAGGTAATTCTCCCATTCCGTCTCCAACCCTAGCTCCAGCCTTTCGTCAAGCAATGTGAGGACAAACCTACAAAAAGGCACACCTTGCTTACCTCGGGAGAGATTGCCACCCCTACAGACATCTTCTCGCCCCGATATCCGGCTCCATAGACAAAGAAGACTCGTCCCCGTTGTCTGCTGCCTGGCGCGAGCTGGGCGAGGAGACCAAGCTGACGAGCCGCGAGCTCGAGCTGCTGCGCCACGGGAAGCCCTACACCTTCACCGACGCGACTGCCGGTCGCGAATGGACAGTGCATCCTTTCGCCTTCCGCCTCGTCTCCGCCGGCGATGCCGCCGCAATCGTCACCGACTGGGAGCACGAGGCTTGGGGTTGGCACGATCCGTTGCGAGTAATCGAGGGCGCCGGCGAAGGGATCCAGGGCGTCCCGCGGCTGGCCGAAAGCCTGCGGCGTGTCTACTTTGAGGCTGATCTCGGCTCGGAGGCGGGCGCTGCGCTGGCACGCGGGCTCGATCGCCTCAGAACCGACTACCAGAGCGGGGCCCGGCAGCTGGCGGCCGAGGCGCTGCGGATTCTAAGGGACGTTGTGGCACTCCTTCCGGACAATGGCCATGGTAACAAAAGCGACGGCCCGATGCCGCTCTGGTGGTCCAATGTGCGGTCTACAGCGTGGCATCTGTGGAAAAACGGGCGCGAAAGCATGGGAGCGGCTATACTCGCCGGAGTTCTCGAAGCTCTGCAGGCTATCGATTCCACCCTCCACCGCCCCGGGCTCGGACAGTCCTCGACTGAAGCTGGGGAAGCTGGTGGAGGCAAGCGATGCGAAAAGCTGGTTCAGTGGCGTGAGATTGTGGTGGGGGAACTCGACAAGCTACTTGCACAAAGGGTTGACCGCGGTAGCCATGTGGCCGAGGAGTTCGCCCGCTTTCTTCGGACGAAGTTTGGGGCCGAAAGGCTTGCGGACCCTCAGCGACCCATCTCGATACTGACTTTATCGGACAGCTCGACCATCTCGCAGAGCCTGCACTGCGCTATGCTCAAAACAGGCATGTCTTTAGACCTGCGGGTTCTCGAGTCGCGCCCACTCTTTGAAGGCCTCTCCCTTGCCGCGGCTGTGGCCGAGAGGGTGTCAGGGAGCAAAGCGCAGCCCACAGAGCAAGGAAGTGGATCCGGAGGCGAGAAGCAGAATGAGTTAACGAGCAAGCTCGGCATCACAATGTTCTCAGATGCTGCGATGGCCATGGCAGCCGAGGGTGTGGACTTGGTCCTCATCGGGGCCGACCGTATCTCGGCTTCGGGGGCCGTCAGCAACAAGACGGGATCTCTTCCTGCTATTCTTAGCACACGCTATGTGGTGGGGGCCTCTGCCACGGTGGTGGTTATCAGCGAGTCTGACAAGGTGGCGCTCCCGGGCGATCCTGGAGAGCATGTGGTGGAAGACAATGGGCCACGACAAATGTTTCTCGCTTGGGAGCCAGAGCATAACAGCAGTCGGGTCCGCCACGCCGCGGGCATGATATTGTTCAAAATGGCCACATCGAGCGGACCTGCGGCGAGGGATGGGGGCGAGGGGAAGTGGAATGACGGGACGAGGACGGAGCAGGCAGCAGCACTCGGGGGCCTCAGGGTCGCGGTCAGGAACGTATCGTTCGAGTGGGTGCCGCCGACTCTCGTCGACATCTACGTCTCTGAGCGTGGGGTCTGGACCGTTGATGACATCACTGAACGGTCCAAGGCGCTGGCGGCTGAGGTCGAGAGGCTCTTTTCGGATCTGTAAGGTGCAATCCAGTCCCATCGTTCCTCCGCGATATAAATAACAGGGCTGAGGAGGGGAGAAGTTGAGCGCGGGGTGATGTGGAGATGATGAAGGATCGATTCTTCACAAGGCATGTGTCTCCGTGCTAGCGGGGTGATTGCCTATCGGGGACACCACTGCGAACTCACTGAGCTGGTGGTTACAACGTAGTATTAACACAGCACGACACTTGCAGCCGGCAACAGGCACTACATAGTGGTACCTGATATGTCAAGCTTTGAGTTGGGGCCTGGACCCTGGACTCATTGACCGGGTTGCTGAGCTAGGTTTCTTCCATCGGTAGGTACCCATGTACCTCAGGTATGTCGAATCCTACCTGTCCAGGCGGCAAATTCGGTCGACGGTAAATGGATGACAAACAACCGAGGATGGAGATTGTGTATCCGTATGTCCTGATGATGGATGGTGATGGAGATCCAATTTCCAATAGGAGTAGGGCTGGGGATGCTGGTTGTCCTCCCCATTACCGTCCGTCTGACGAGTCAGAAACGGCACGTGGCACAAACGGCACACGGGCCCGGCCCGTTTTGGCGTTGACTGAATGAGATCACCATGAGTCTGAGAGCGGCAGGAGGGAGTGTTCCTTCCAGTCCATCCGAACTGTCGATGTTCCGTTGCTTCGGTCCCGCCCGCGCTCCTTCCTATCCTCGATAGAAACCTGGCACAACCTACCCTCCCAGGTTCTAATTTTGCCCACCGCCGGCGGCTGCTGCCTCTGGTCAGATCCAGCGCAGCTAGAAACCGCCGTGACAGTCTAGAGCACCGAAATGCCGATTTTCACGCATGCATCACCAAATCCCATTCCTGTTTCCCCGACTGGAGGATTGATAATCAAGTTTAGCCGTTATTTTTGGGAGTTCGTCCGATGCATATCCCAGCAATCTCTCGGTGCCCTTCTGGGATTGCGCACTCCTGCGTCGGTGGGGCCTGCAGCACGGCCTCAGACGCTTAATTCGCGCTAAGAAATGCCAAGGCGACAGCCCAATTTTGCCACCCAGCAGCCCCTATGAGATCACTTCCAGCACCGGCCGGTGGACCTCGTCCCGACGACAGACGAGACATTCACTGGCGGTCAATCAGCCCAAATCGAGTACCCTAGAGAGGTTTGGAGGAATCGATTCAATGTGACTATTTCCCTCTCTTCCGTGCGTGCCAACGCAGCAGGCCCGGTTTGCTTAGCGTACCATAGGTCGGTGGTATTGGTGGCTTCGTGTGTGACCAATCTGACCCTCCTTCCACCCGCAGCGCCAAGTGCTTGTGGTCGAACCAGAGCTCCGAGCCGAGGTGGATGCTGGAAATCACTAGAACCCCTGCTTCGAGCCCTCCATCCCATCCATGTCGAGGAATCCTTTGGCGGCAGCGTCTTGTCCACGCCAGACTGAAATCAGCTTGGAAATACGCATCGAAAGCAGCCCTCCACAAGAGGCATCACAGCCACACTCGAGATAGGCCCAAGAAAACGCCAGAAATAACGGCAGAGCGGTGGGATGAGGTGCCACCCGGCAGACAAACCATACCCTGTCAAGGTCTTGGGTGCTGTCGACCTGGGTCTCTCTGCGTGGGTAAGTGGGCAAGGCAACACCTCATTCGATGCAATACGGCCCCAGGTGCATTCGGATGGGTGCCGAGAGGCGACAATGAAGGAATCGCTTCCAACCTCGCCGTCATGCATCTTCCGGTTTGGGGCTTGCAACCGGGCCATAAGAGCAACCATAACATCCCCTCGCATCTGCTGGGGTATATCTTCACCTGGAATCCCAGGTCCATGTCGACGGGCGGAGGCCGGCCGCCCAGACACCAACATCGACCCCATCTCATCCTCTGACGTGCGCCTCTTCCTTTCCACCCCCAAATCCCCTCTTTTGCCCGTCCCCCACTACAGAAATGCCCACCCGCACCACACACAAATGACCCCCCCGTCTGCCTGGTCCCCCTAAGGTACCACCAGACGCGCTTTTTCCATCAATTCCGCACCCATTAGGCTTGGCTTGCATTTCGGCCACAAGCTCTGTCAGACGTCGAGGTGCCTGATCAGGGCCATCGATTTCGTGCTTGGGGGCCTGCAGCGCCACAGCCGTGCTGACCGACCTCCGGCTCGAAGCTGTTAAATCCCCGCTGGACAGACAACCAGATCCGTCCCCTGCTGTTGAGGAGATCAGACAACCGCGTTTTCGGGGCCGGAGAGAAGAAAGAATTCAAAAGATACCCCAAACTCCAAAGCCTGCGCCGCCGCTGCAGCCGGAATCTGCCAAGGTCAGCCACTGCCGCCTCCCAGACAGAGGAGGCGCCCGGGAGCAAGGGGAAATAAAATCGCCAGCTTTTTGGCGCCCCAATCCGCCTTGACGGCTTCCCGCAAGCCACCGCAAATTCCATTTGGGCGGCAGGCTGTTTCGCTGGTCCCGCGGGACTCGACTATGCTCCTACACAACAACACCATGCCAAGGTCGAGGTCGAGGTCGAGCCCATCCGGTGCTCAGAGGCTACCCGTGAATCCACGACGACACAAAGTCTCTCCCGACAAGAGAAAGCGTGTCGCGACTGCGTGAGTGACCCCGAGCTAGCGGCCCCGCTGGCTGCCAACATGACTGCCGGGATGATGGGTCGGCGGGGATGGACAAGAAAAGAGGAGAAGCAACAAGGAAAAAGCAACAAACCCTGGGCTTACCATTTCCTCTCTCACCACAGGTGCAATAGCTGTAACCTCAAACGGGTCAAGTGCTCTGGTGAGCAACCATGTAGGCAGTGCGAGATCGCGTCGAGGGACTGCGTCTACCCCCAAGCCGTCGACAAGGTGTCGATACCAAAATCTCAGCTGGAGGAGCTGGAATCAAAATGCGCTAGGCTGGAGCGCCGCCTCCAAGAGCAGTTCGACTTCAACACGAGCCCGCGGCGCTCGCTGTCCACCTCCTACAATAATGATGCGAGTGCTGGCGATCTCGGTCTAAGCTCGACCACCGCCAGCAGTACCGTGGGCGGGGGCGAGGAGTCACAGTCGCCGCCCGAGGATGGGCGACTGCTACAGGACACGGATGGCACTGCGCGCTACCTCGGCGAGACGTCAGGCGCCACATTTCTCGACAACCTCAAGATGTTCATGTCGACAATGTTCCATCTGGCCTTCAGCGGGGGCCGGATCTCGGAGTACGGCAATGGCAACACTTTCCTCGCCTCTGTGGGCCGGTATCAGACCTCGGACTCGCGTCCACTGCCGGCTCCCGATGTTAACCCTCTCTGGCTGCCGCCGCGGAAGAAGGTGTTGGAGAAATTGGAACAGGTGCGGGCCTTCATCCAGGACAGTGGCATATCCGGAGGAATCTATTTTTGGGGCGACCTTTCCAACTGCCACGACGGGTTGAACTATGGCGCCGCCCTTCGGCCATCCTCAACCGCGGCCGGCGATCTTGTCCCCCACCGCGGCCTGGCATTTTACCATGCAGCTCTCGCCTATGCGAGTTTGTTTGGCCCCGCGTCACCCAACTCTAAGCAGGAGGGCGAACTGCGCTTCGCATGTGCGCGTATACTACTGGGTAACCCTCTCGAGGTGTCAACCTACTCCAGCTCCGATATCGCTACAATGGCTCTCATGGGTATGTACATGGTTGAGAACAACCGCCGCGACGCCGCATACATGTACATCACCACGGCGATGCACATCTCTATCATGCAAGGCATACACCGTGGCTGTGGCACCGACGAGCTTGGCAAGCGTATCTTTTGGACGGTTTACATTCTCGATCGCTGGATCAGTTGCCTCATGGGGCGACCACCCACCATTGCGGACGAGGCCGTCCGGCTGGACGAGCCACATGACGTGCCGTAAGACACTACGCATCCTGTGATCCTACGGGTTTTGCTGCCGTCAGTTGACTGACTTATCGATCTCACAAACAGGGGGATGCCAAGCCCTGTAGGCCTTAGAGCCCACATCGCGCTCTCGAGGATATCTGGCCACATTGTGTGCAACACTTATCGCATCGCCCCTAACACCTTGCCCGACGCAAGCCCAACAACCAACGGTGTCTCTCCTGTCGACAAGACACTACAGCTACTCACCAACTGGCTGAGGGGTCTTCCCCAGGAGCTACGCATTTCGTACGAGACACTTCCCCAGGACAGGCCACTGTGCACACTTCACATGAGCTACAACCAGGTGAGCCGTTATCCTGTTACTTACTGCGGTCCGTTGACTGAAACAAGAGCTGGATCCGGGTCTCTAACGCTACCTTGAACTTCCCTTTAGCAATTGATACTCACAATTCGTCCGGTCTTTTTGAGTAACGTCAAGAAGGCAGTCGCCGATCGCTTCCTGACACAACCACGGCAACAAAGCGGGCAAGCCGGTGCGGGCCCGCAGCACCAAGACCACACAGACACCTCTGCTCTTCCATTGAATCATAGGATCGCCAGGCCGCCGTTTCGTAAGCGCTCTGCTGGCATCGAGGGCAACCACCCGCAGATCGGCTTGTTTCGCAAGTGCTCCGAGGCTGCACGCCATAACCTCCGGTTGGGCCGATGGCTGGCCGAGATCTCTCCCGCATCCAAGTTGCTGCTCCCAGATTTGCACTGTGTTTTCAATGCCGCAATAATGCTTATGTTGCACCAGATCGCGTTTGTGGAGCAACCATCCGACGGATCTGATATCGAATTCGCCTTCAAGGCCTTTTCCAGCGAGGCGGCCATGGGCGACACTTACGCGGCAGACTGTCTCCGCGTCATGCAGGACCTCGCCAGTCTTGTCCGCCAGCTTTGCGACCAGATGTTCCCCGGCGTTCCTCACACCCCCAGCCCGCAAGTCGGCCCCAATGCCGCTGTTGCCACTTCCACTGAAACCTCGGCCACCCCGTCGCCGCTCCTTATCGCGGATACCCTCACTAGCATGCCCCGCGGGGCGGCCGGCGCGCGCGCTCTAGGTCAACAACAACAGCCACTATCGAGTTCCGTCATGGAAGGGCCCCAGCCTATATCCATATCGGGGTACCTGGACACTCACGGATATGGTAGGGGTGGTGGAGGGATCGTTTATCCCAGCTTGCCGAACATCCCGGGCTCGGCTACCATCATTGGAGATCCCAATCCCGATATGGGGTTCAATACCATGGCAACCTCGACTTCAACCGGAATCCCGGATGCCGGCAACCCATTATACGTCCTCATGGGATGGTCACAACCTGACCCGATGGGCGAAATGTACGGCCCATGCTTTATGTGATGCAAAACAGTCTAGGCTCTGTGTTTGTTTCTCAAGGGCTTCTCTTTCGTGAATTGAATTTGGATTAGGGGCTTTGTTTCCTACCCAATGGCGATTGCGTCCAGCCCCACACAGTTGCCTCTAGTGTATTCACCTCTCGTCAAATCCTCGCAAAGCTTTCGTTCTCTGCTCCCTTCCCTCCCTAGAAAGCGGGATTACCCGACACAGAGCCTGACTGGGGAGAATTCGGGATGACGAATTCTTACCTGCGGTTTAGGCACTGAATGGGATGCCTCATGTCTGTACCTGTTGGCCCAGGCGGTGAGATTATCTAGTGGCAACGCGGAGAGTCCGAGGGGATGGCTCAGTGTTTCTCCAATGGTCACGACACCAAAACACAGGTACGACTTCCCCACCCACGGCCAAGATGGGATACTCTTGCGCTCGCCATGCAGTCTAGTCACTTGGTGCGTGATTATTACTGCAGGAGGCCTTCGGGTACTGTACCCTCACATCACCCACAACCGTTTCTGAAATATTATTCGTCGTCGTGTCTTTTGCTCACGGCCCCCACTCGCGTACCGAGACACAGGACGAACAACGAAGCATGGGTGCCAGCATTAGCGCGAGCAAAGCCACACATGTCCCTCCTGCATGAGCGTCCTGGGACCTAATTATGGTGCGTGCAGTACCACCCCTCCGTATATCCCACAGCCCGGTTCGGCGCCCTCCCCATAGGCCCAGCGAAGCGACGATCGCTATCTCTTCCGAGCACTGCCCCCGAGAGTCTGGTTATCGGTGCTTCGAACTGCGGCTGGCGCCGCCAGGCGTAAGCGACAGAACCGCCCATTGCGGCTGGCGGGTCTGTACGGGCGCCGTGGCGAAGTCGTTTTTTTTTTAGGGGGCTGTGCCTCGTACTCTCGGCGCGCCGCATTGCATGCCGTAACTGGGCGTACTTGCGCCGAGCCCGTGCGGCATGCCCGGCGGCAGCGCATGGCCCGCTTGTGCGCAAAAGAATGGCGGCAATATGGCACTGAGGGTACTTGAGTCTATAAAGCCAGGTGTTCATTGGGTGGTCTAACAATCGAATGCGCCGCTTGCTTGCATTGGGTGATTGCTGCTTTTAGAGACGGCTGTGCTGGTTTGTGGTGAGTGCGCGAGCCCAAGTGCTTCACAAGACTCTTTCTTGCACACAAAAGCGCAGTTCGTGTCAATTTAGGGGAACCAACGGCCAGGAGAGCGGCAATTCAAGTGCGACCATGGCTCCCCTCGGCTCGAATTCAATCATGCCGACGTACTACAAAACCGAGGAGCACGGTGCCATTTCTGGTTGTCAACCGCCTGTCCCCATACCCCTGCTGTGGAGTTCTGCAGACGCCGATCATCAGGAAACCCGGCTCATGGAGAGCCACGTCGATATGGATGCAACCTTTGACAGAAAAGCCCGTCGGGACTATTCGGCCCCTGTCACGTTTGATCTGAGCACAGAGCGGCCAGATAAGACAGTGGATATTGGCAAGGATGGAACCTGGGTCTCGGCAGACCCCTTTGGAAGGGTGAGTGAGCCGCACCGTTCCCCCTCAGAATAGGATCAAGGGGGGCCATAAAGATGCAAGAGAGGGAGCAAGCCCCTGGATCCTGTCACCCGGGAGCTTTTTCAGCCTTACAGTCTACCCACTTTGGCCCGTCCCGCTACAAGCCTTCAACACTTGGCGGCTGGACACCGAGCTGTGCCGCCAGATGGCTTCAGAGCCGACCATCGGGAGATCAAGGACGCGGACGTTTCTAACAATAGGGGTTTCGACGGGTGACAGATATTGCAGCTGAGCGCCTTCCACCCCAAACATGGCGTCGTCGTCGCGGTGCCGTACGAGCAGTTCGACGGGACGCGGTTCCGCGACCCGCTGTACGTGCGGGAGTACAGGACGCACATGCTGGAGTCGGTCGCCAAGGGCAGGCCGGGCTACGGGATTGTGGTCAAGGGCAAGCCCAAGGAGGTCTCCATCATCATCCCGCGGCCGAACGTGGCCAACATACGGTTCCGGCTCGACGATTCCATCGAGGTCCACGCGACGCTCGTGGTGCACGACGGCGAAGCGGTGCAGAGCGTGACGATCCGCAATTCGGGCGCTACCGCCGGCCGGACGGTCGAGGGCGAGCTCTCGCTCTGCACGAGCGTCAACCGCGCCTCGTACGGCCAGCTGACCGAGGGCGGCCCGCTGCCCATCCCGCGATCCGAGAACGCGCTCGACCTGGCCGAGGACGGCGGCCGATTCGCAGTGTCGAACCGCCACCTCGAGGCACGCCTCGAGGGCTGCTTCTACATTGGCGACAAGGTCGCCAGCCTCTGCGGCCTGCTCGACGACGCGAGGGAGCGCCACCACCACGGCGGCGATAAGATCGCCAACGGGGGCTGGGGCGGGCCCGGGCGCCGCGCCGTGACGGTGCTCGGGGCCCCCGTCTCCGCGTCGACTCCCTGGAAGGTCGGGGTGCCCGCGGGCTCGAGCGTCGAGCTGACGGCGCGGTTCCGGCTGAGGCCCACCGCCGCCGACGGCGCCCCCGCCGGCGCCCCCGTCATCCCCCTGTTTGCTCACCATCAGCGCATTAGACAGACGGTCGTGGGCGCCGCCGCCAAGCTGCTGTCGGTGACGGCAGACTGGAAGGACCCGCAGAGCGTCGAGACGTACATGGTGCGGAGAACGCTCGACTACATAATAGGCAACTGCCTCGTGCCCCTCGGCGAGGACTGCTGCGCCATCGTTACGGACCACGTTGCGCTGCCGCTGGGGTGGAATCGGGATAACTAGTATGGACCATCACCTTGTCGCTTTACCCTTCTTTACTTGTGTGATCTGGCAAATAACCTTTTCTCTCTCTTTTTCACCCAGCTGGCAAGTCCGTTTCCTCTCGACCGTCCTCCGCTCGCTCGACAACCTCGTCCACCCGGGCCCCGTCGCGTCCTTCTACGCCACCACGATCCGGCGCGTGCTCCGCGGCCACCTTAACTGGGTCTTCCGGCGCGCCGAGCGACCCGCCGGCTACTGGCACCGCTCGTACCTGGTGACGGGCAAGCCCAAGGACGGCCGCGTGTTCCAGCTGGACCAGCAGCTGTACCCGCTCGTCGAGCTGTGCGACTTCGCCGCCGCCGCGCCGCAGCACGCGGACGATGCCGGCGAGCTGGTCCGCGGCGTGCTCCTGCGCGAGCCCGTCGTCTGCGAGGTCCTGCGCGTCCTGCTAGCAAAGGCCGACCCGATTACGGGCCTGGTGCCGACCGAGGAGTCGCCCGGCGACGACGAAATCGACTACCCGTACCACTTCTCGACCCACGTCATGCTGTGGTACGCGCTTTCCCGCCTCGTACGCCTGCTCGAAAGCCTCGGTGTCGTCGGCGGCGGCACGGGCGACTTTGAGGCGGCGGCGGCGGCAAAATCGTCCGATTACGGGCGACAGGCGCACGCGCTGGCGACGGCGCTGCTGGTGCGCACGGCGTCGCGGGTCCGGCACTTTTTGGTGCGCGACGAGCAGGGGCGGCCCATGTTTGCGTACGTGACCAACGGCAAGGGCAAGTACACGCTCTACCACGACGGCAACGACATGCCCACGCTTTTTGTCTCGCGGTCGCAGCTCAACCTGGCCGGCATTTTGAACGGTATCAGCGCCCAACTCGGGACGGCAGATCGAGTGGATGAGGTACGTGACCATTAGTGTTTCTAGGTGATGTTCGAAAAAAGTAAAAGAGACTAAACAACATAAAAAAAAACCCCCCCACAGGACGAGATCGAGGAAGCCTGGCGCAACACGATGCGCTTCGCCTTTTCCACGCGCAACGCTTCGGGCTTCTGCAGCGGGAGCGAAACAAACGACAAAACCCAGCCGCAGCAGCAGCAGCAACGCCAGACGCAGGAGCAGCGGCAGCAGCTGTACCCCTTTGGCGGGCTCGGCAGCGTGCACAGCAGCGGGGCGTGGACGCTCGGCTACTTCCAGGAGCTCATGTTTGCGCGGATCGAGGGGGACGCGGCCGCGGAGCGGGACGCGTGGCGGCGCGTCGTGGGCGCCATGCAGTGGGACGGCTCCTTCGCCGAGGCCGTCGACGCGCGCTCGGGCCGCTGCGCGTCAAAGGCCTGGTTCAGCTGGCCCGCGTCCATGATCGGCGCCGCGCTCGTCGACGCGCGCGAGGCGGCGCGGCCGAGGGAGGGCGGCGCCGGCGAGCTGGGGGTGGAGTGATGCGGCGCGCGTGTTTGTTTAGTGCTTCCTGCTAGCTGTGCGTTGCCTCTGTAGCCTAATGGTGAAACCTGATTCTCGTCACCTTGATTCCGCTCCTCTTGATTTGCTAGTGGACATCCATGGCATCAAAGAACTCGTCCTCACCTTCTGAATCCGAGGCGCCCTCCACGCGCTCATCGCCCCCCGCCTGCCCTTCTCCAAACAGGGAGCGAAAAACAGTTCCCTCGCTCGCTGCGGCTTCATACCAGAGCACCCGACGATCAAGAGGATAATCTTGATAGTAATACCAGGATTTTGGATAGGCCAATTTGTCCCACGTCTGATCCGCAAAACCCGGCTGGTATTGCATGCGCAGATACTCCCTCCCGATCCACATCTTGAGCTCCCTGTGCGATCCGTCTCGGGGTAACTGATCCCTGGTCTCCAAGAATCTGCCGTTGGCCCAGTTCCTTTCCCTCAACTCCACCACGAGGGCACTGAGAAGCCAAATGCCGCGGTGGCTTAATGGCCTTTGTGCAAATGTATTGTCGAGGTATGCCGCACGAGAGATTCTGTCATGGATGATGTCCAGCAGGGACATCCCTGCCATGCCCCTGGCGTCAGGATCCAGCTGCAGGTCAATGCAGTCCCTCAGAAACTGGATCTGACTCGGACTGGAGGCGTACTTTGCGGTCATGGCCAGGATGGTGTGTCCGTAATCATTTATGGCGTCGATCCGCGCTCCGCATTTCGCCAAGGCTTTCACAACGCCTAGCTTTCCCCTCAAGGCCGCGTACAACAAAGGCGTATTGCCCAAACTGGCTCTGGATTCCAGGTTGGCGCCTGCGTCTACCAGAGAGCTCAACACCGTCGAAAGTGCCTTTGTTGCCAGCAGTCTTGGATAGTCTGACAAATGATGGACAGGGGACCATATCGTTGCACGTCGCCCTTTAGCAGGGCCTGGATCTGCGCCATGTCGTAGCAACAAACGAACCATGTCGGGGCAATGGAGGCTTGCGCTCAGCGGAGACCGGCCCTCTTTATCTTTAGCGTTGATGTTGGCTCCGTGTTGTAGTAGCAGGCTTGCTCCAGCGAGGAACCCCTTGTGGCAAGCAATGTGCAGCGTCGTCTTTCCTTCGCTCCTTTCTGTCAAGTTTGGATCTGCCCCATTCTGTAGAAGAAGAAGAGTGGCGGCTGTATCAAAGCGATGCACTGCCCAATGCAGTGGTGAGCATCCATGGTTATCCAGAGAGTTGAGACTGCCCGGATTCATCACCAAAGCCTGCTTCACTGAGATACCTGAGTTGCCAAGAATGGAGTCGCGTATCGGCGAGGGCGAGTACGTGAGGTGATCTGCTCCGAGCTTCAGCAAACTCTTCAAGATATTTGCGGTGCTCGGCAAACGATATTTGGATGCCCAAAGACATTCCTGGGCAAGATCCGCGACAGAACTGCATCTCGGGCAACGGCCTGGTTAGTTGTCGTATTTTCAGGCGTGAAGTGCGGTGAAGCACACACATCCTTTTATAGATTCTGGAGGCCGGGCGATGACTAACCGTCCATCTGCATCGCACACAGCAAGAGCTCTCTCTGTAATGAGAGGACTGAGCACCTCGAATACGAGCACGCATCTCCTCAACATTAACTAGGCCAGTTCATGTGCATTTATTAGTGACGGTTGATTATAGCCCCGTGTATGGAAGTGTAATATGAGCAGAATAGGAGCTCAAAGCGGAAGCTCCTAGTTGATTTTCACGCAACATAGTATCAACTCACCGAGAGCAATGGCTCGCCATCGAACTCGTCCACGTCGGTCGGGAGATATCTTTTCTCCTGAAAAGCCAAACGGAGCCATTCGATATTTTCATAGTTAATGGCCAAAACGGCACTTGACGTGGAAACCACTCTCGGGATGCTCAGTGAAGTTCTCGCCCCTGTGTCAATAGGATCCCAGGAAGCTGTGTACTGGATGGCGCGGCGAAGAAGCCATCTCGGGAAATTTACGGTGATGCGCATTGACCTCTCTGGGCCTGCAAGGCATTGTGCCGCGTTGCAGGGACGTCGGTCAAAGATGGGTATGGCGTTGTACCGAAGCAAACAGCCGCCTATGGCATAGCGAAGCCAGGTGGGCGTGTTGAGCTGCGACAAAATGTGGCACTGGCAGCCGCATCCCGCGGGACATCTCTGTTCAAGGATAGCGTGGCTTGAGAGGCCCAGATCAGAATAACCGCCTACCAAGAAGACATGGGACATGGCTTGAATCCGAGGGAAGAAATCTCGAGGTTTTGCTTACACAGAGGTCAAGTTGGAACCCTCTCTGTCCACCGGGCGTTCGTGTCGCCTTGGACTCGGCTGGCCACGTGCGGTGCCTCCTGAAGGTGGACGTCCATGGAAAGGGGTGCTCGTAGCTTGGATAGCTGAACGGATGGTGGCCTCGAAGTTGTCGATTCTTCCCAAAACATGTCGTGTTGCGTCCTCTGTGGTTTGTTTAATCGACTCGGTGGTGGAGCTACTTAGAGCTTCGATCCTGATCATCATGCGGGCATGGTTTACGCTGGAGGGGGTCCTGCGGTTAGTTCTCCAGAGCCGCTTCAGAGGTGCAGAGGGCTAGAAGGGAGGCTATACGCATTCAAGGAGGGCTCCAAAATCCCGAGGAATGCGCAGATATCCTCGCGTGAGCGACGACACTGCGCGCGCAGAGCGAGAGCTCTGCCCTTGTGTCTTTGCCATTGGATGACTGGGACTTTCTTGGTGCCCTTCTTGTTGGGCCTGCTGGCGGCCATCAGGTCCTCGGCCAAGACATCGAGCTGCTCGGCCGTCCGGGAAAGTTCAAAAAGGAGCTGCTCAAGTCGCTGCAGAGATGTGGCGGGTGCTCCTGTTCCCGACTTCGAAAGGTCCGAGGCCGTCTGCACCACCTGCTCCATGAAGGAGTGCAGCATTTCAAGCTCGTTGACGAGGTCGCAAAACTCAACATCCGACCGGGCGACGGAGCGCAGCAGCCTGATGCCCTTTCCCACAGAGCCTGCCACCTCTACAAACGTGACGACTGCCGTCGCGATGCTGAGCGGATCCATTGTGCCGTTTGGGGGGGGGGGGGGGTCGGGGGGGTACGCG